GGAACAGAACAGGCAGACTGACGAAGAAATACACTGCTGAGGGGAGCAGCAAGCATGGCAGGAGAGGTCTGTTGCACCATGTGGGACCCTCGCTGGCGGCCGGGGATCGAACCGGCGCTGCAGAGGCTGCAGGCAGCTTCGCAGCCCAGAGTTCAACCGCTGCGCCACCAGGGGAGGCCCTATCCTAGGGACTGTTCAGGAATATATAAAAATACCAATTCTCTAAAGATATTTATAACATTTTTCTAGTAAGTCTGAATGACCCATAATATGGGTAAGTTAAACGACGGTAGATCTGTGCTATGGCATGATTTGCTTGTATCTCTGAGTTCAGTCTCAGAAGGTCTCTGTCTAAACAAATCAACACTGCAGCCTGACTCAAGCATGGTCTTGGCACAGAACAGATCCTCATTGATAAGGTAGTCCAAGTGGTCATTAACTCTAAATGCAATTGGATTAAACTCATCAATAAAAAGACACAGAGTAGCACGCTGGATTAAAAAACGAAATTCATCCTTCTGTTGTCTCCAGAAAACACACAAAAGATAAACACAGACTGAAAGTAAAAGGTTGGAAAACAATCCTACAAGGCAGGACCAGCTATTCTTGTATCAGATGAAACAGACTTCAAATTAAAAAAAGTAAAAAGAGACACAGACGGACATTACATTATGATCAAGGGGACAATACATCAGGAAGATATAACACTTATCAACATATACTCACCAAATGAAGGAGCACCAAAATATATTAGACAGTTATTATCAGCTCTGAAAATGGACATTAAGGAAAATACATACATAGTGGGAATACACTCTATCTCACCAATGGACAAATCAATGAGACAAAAAATAAAGACACTAGAGCCCTAAATAAAGACATAGAACTCATGGACTTAACAGACATCTATAAGACACTGCACCCAAAAAAATCCAAGTACACATTTTTCTCAAGCGCACGCGGATCATTCTCCAGAATTGATCACATACTGGGCCACAAGACAAACATCAACAGAACATGAAGATCAAAATCATTCCAACTATCTTCTCCGATCATAAAGGCATCAAGCTAGAAATAAATCATGAAAAGAAAACAAGGAACCCTCCCACTTCACGGAGATTGAAATCCACACTGCTGGAAGACCGCTGGACTAAATAAGGAGATCAAAGACAAAATAGAAAAATACTTGGAGCTGAATGACAAGGAGGACACCATTTTCCAGAATGTATGGGATGCAGCAAAAGCAGTAATAAGAGGAAAATCTATAGCAATACAGGCTCACATCAACAAACAAGAAAAAATTCAAAGAAACAACCTAATCTCATATCTCAAAGAGTTAGAAAAAGAAAAACAAAAAAACCCTAAAGCCAGTAGAAGAAAGGAAATAATAAAAATCAAAGCAGAAATAAACAAAATAGAAATTAAACAAACAATCCAAAAGATCAATGAAACCAAAAGTTGGTTCTTTGAAAAAATAAACAAAATAGACAAACCTCTAGCCAGGCTCACAAAGAAAAAAACAGGAGAAAACACTTATAAATAGGATTATAAATGAAAGAGGAGAAATCACAACAGACTCAGTAAAAATCAAAATAATCAGAGATTACTATGAACACTTTTATGCAAACAAATTCAACAACCTAGAAGAGATGGACAAATTCCTAGAACGATATAATCATCCAAAGCCAGACAAAGAAGAAATAGAAAAACTAAACAGACCAATTACAAGCAGTGAAATTGAGGCAGTAATCAAAGCACTACCCAAAAACAAAAGCCCGGTCCAGATGGCTTCACAAATAAATTCTACCAAACGTTCAGCAGTGAAGTAGTGCCTATCCTACTCAAACTCTTAGAAAAAATTGAAAAAGAAGGAATTACTACCAAATACGTTCTACGAAGCCAACATTACACTAATAACAAAACCAAACAAAGACAGTACAAAAAAGAAAATTACAGGCCATTCTCCCTGGTGGCGCAGGCGGTTGAGCGCAGCGCTGTGAAGCTGTCCGCAGCCTCTGCAGTGCTTGTTCGATCCCCGCAGGCTGCGGAACAACCCGCATGGTGTGGCAGACTCACCTGCTGCTCCCCTCAGCAGTGTATTTCGGTCATTCTGCCTGTTCTGTTCCCTGCTCTGTCTCAGGTGAATCTTCTCGCCCTCCTGCACATCTGGCCTGTACCCTGGTTCTTGTATAAATAAAATGAATCTTTAAAAAAAAAATTCTCAACAAAATCCTTGCCAACAGAATGCAACAATGCATCACCAGGATAATACACTACGATCAAGTGGGATTCATCCCAGGAGCACAAGGATGGTTCAACACACGAAAATCCATCAGTGTAATCCAACACATCAACAAAAAGAAAAATAAAAACCATATGATCATATCAATAGATGCTGAGAAGTATTCGACAAAGTCCAACATCCATTTATGATGAAGGCCCTTGAAATTCTCAGGATAGAAGGAACATACTTTAACATGATAAAAGCCATATACAACAAACCCACCGCCAATATTATTCTCAATGGCAAAAAGCTGAAGGCCTTTCCTTTAAGATCAGGAACAACACAAGGATGTCCTCTCTCACCACTGCTCTTCAATATAATACTGGAGGTCCTAGCCTGGGCAGTAAGACAAGAGAAAGACATACAAGGAACCCAGATAGGGAAAGAAGGAAAACTACCACCCTAAAAACTAGAACCCTAAAAACTCCATAGAAAAACTACTCGAAATAATCAACCAGTTCAGTAAAGTAGCAGGATACAAAATCAACACACAAAAATCTGTAGCCTTCCTACACACAATCAATCGGAAGAAGAAATCAAGAAAACCATCCCTTTTATAATTGAAACAAAAAAATCAAATACTTGGGAATAAACCTAACAAAAGAGGTGAAAAAGTGAAAGACCTATACAAAGAAAATTATAAAACACTGTTAAAAGAAATAGAAAACACAAAGAAATGGAAAGATATCCCCTGCTCATGGATTGGAAGAACTAACATTATTAAAATGTCCATCCTACAAAAGCAATATACAGATTCAAGGCTATTCCAATAAAAATCGCAATGACATTCTTCAAAGAAATAGAACAAATACTGATGAAATTCATATGGGGCCACAAAAAACAACAAATGGCCAAAGCCCGACTGATGAAAACAAAGGAGAAAAAGGAGGTATCACACTTCCAAACTTCAACTTACACTACAAAGTCATAATAATTAAAACAGTTTGGTATTGGAACAAAAACAGACACACAGACCAATGGAACCAAATAGAGCGCCCAAAAATAAAAAACACTTATATGGACAACTGATCTTTGACAAAGGAGCAAAGAATATGCAATGGAACAGTTTGTTCAGTAAATGGTGCTAAGAAAACTGGACTATCACATGCAAAAAAATGAAACTAGATCACTACCTTTCACTGTGCACAAAAATCAACTCAAAATGGATAAAAGAACTGGACATAAGATCTGAAACCATAAAATATATAGAAGAAAATATACGTAAAATACTACAAGACATACATTGCATAACATTAAAAACTCATCAATCAAAGCAAAGAAAGTCAAAGAAAAGATAAACAACTGGAATTACATTAAACTGAAAAGCTTCTGCATAGCAAAAGAGACATTAATTAAAACAGAGAGAAACCCCACTGATTGGAAAAAAATCTTTGCACGTCAGTCAACTGATAGGGGACCGAACAAAGATATACAAAGAAGTCACAGGACTAAACAAAAACAAAATAAACAATCCAGTCAACAAATGGGCCCAAGAACTTAAAAGACATTTCTCCAAAAAGGAAATGCAAATGGCCAACAGGCATATGAAAAAATGTTCAACATTCCTTACATTGAGGGAAATGCCAATTAAACCACATTGAGATACCACCTTATAACAGTAAGAATGGCACATATCAAAAAAACAAGCAACAACAAATGTTGGCAAGGATATGGTGAAAAAGGAACTCTCCTACATGGCTGGTGGGAGTGCAAACTGGTCCAACCACTATGGAAAGCTGTCTGGAGGTTCCTCAGTCTACTAAAAATGGAGCTACCACATGAGCCAGTAATTCCACTGCTACAGATCTACCCAAAGGACACAAAAACACTGATTAAAAAGAACACCTGTACCCCTATGTTTATTGCAGCACTATTTATAATAGGTAAAACCTGGAAACAATCCAAATGCCCAAAGATAGATGACTGGATCAAGAAGATGTGGTATATATACACAATGGAATATTATTCAGCAATCAAAAAAGATAAACTCATGTCATTCGCAGCAATGTTGATGGAACTAGAAGGAATTATGCTCAGTGAAATAAGCCAGAAGGAATAAAGAAAAATATTGGATGGTTTCACTTATGGCAGGAATATAGGGGAACCAAATAAGACATCAGTGTAAAAAAAAAAAAATAACAGTGCAAAACACAACAAAGCGAAAACGAAAAAGTATAAATCAGAGACATACTGCAGGGGAGGAGGAGGGAAAGGGATCAGAGGGAAGGAGGGAGAGAGGGAGGGAGGAGCACAGAGGACTGAGGTGATGATGCACGGGAGCACTGGTGAAGGAAACTCTATGGGGACTCAACCTGAGGGAGTGGGGGAAGCAAATATTGTTTAAAAATAACAATGATGTAAAAAATAAAAAAATCAATATTAAAAAATTAAAAATAATAAATAAAAACAAAAATCTCTTGGGCCTCCCTGGTGATGCAGGGGTTAAAGTCTCAGTGCTATCAAGCTATCCCTAGCCACTGCACATGAGTTCAATCCCCGGCCAGGGAGCTAACACACATGGCACAGCACTGCTCCCCTCAGTAGTGTAATTCAGTAGATCCGCCTGTTTTTCTACCCACTCTGTGTCTGGTGCATCCATTCATTACCTCCACCTGCCCCGGTTTCCTCCCCCCCACCCCCCACATGCCCCTCTGGCCTGGACCCCAGTTCTTGTATGCATAAATAAAAATAAATCTTAAAAAAAAAAATCTCTTACCCTTAAGGTGACTACTCGTGCTCTGGGGTTTCGGATAGATGGTCCCGATGAAACATAATCAGCTGTGTCTATTTCAATTGGAAAATGCTTCTCACATTTCTCATCGCTATCTAGTGCAGTTGGCCATGCAGTGCAGAAATCTGAAATTAAAAATTAGTTCAAATGTAATTTTGCAAGTAAATTCTCATTGGAATGAATGTAACCAGACAAAAATCAAATTACTCAAAGAGTGAATTCAGGTTCCATGAAATCAAACTCTCTTCTGCATTTAAAATCACATGATCACTCTTCATCCCTTTTCTTCTTGGGTGAATTTAATCATGGTAGTGATGTAGTTAAGGTTCTATTAAAAGGGAACTATGACTTGATGGAAGCTTTTCACAAACCTCTTATGGGAAAATGTAATTCCTTCTCACCAATGAATAGTAAACAGTTCATAGTGTCCAAACATTATTTATTTTTTGAAAAGGCTGCAGATAATATTAAATCACTCCCATGAAAATTACTAAAGATCAGTTGAAGTAGTTCTGAAAAAGCACTAAGAGAACCTGAGATGTGGTCAGCATTCTTTCAGAAACTGAGTTGAAAAGGGTCCCAAAGTGAAATAGGTAGAAAGCCTAGGTATCTATTAATATAAAAGGATGATGTTTCTTGTGTATGCCTTCTGTGACTGTGGGCTAAATGTCAAGAGGGACACACCAGGCTTCACCTCCAAGCAAGACTGGGAGCCCAGAGAGAAACTCCAAGCACTGGAGCACTCACTGCCTAGCTCCAAAGCACAGAGCTGAAAACTCAGGTCTCAACTGGGAAAAACAAAAGGGAAGAGGAAGCCCCCCCACCAATTGGTGGGGAATCCATAGGTGCATGGCACTTTCATCTCACCCTTGTCCTAGCAAGTAGGTAGTAGCGAGCTCCAGTTGGGATGAAAACCTCTGGACCTGAAACTTAATTCCTTAAACCACCTTATTCTAGGAAGACCTAGAAGTAACTGGTTTCTTAGGTCAAATCCATGAATATATCTGCAAGATCTGTGAAACTTCCAGAAAAGCTCAAGGGCAGATGTGAGAGTTCTTCCAGGTGAAGACCAAAGAGGTAGTGACAAGCCCTTTGCCAGTAACCTCTCCCAAGCCAACTATTTCCTTATATTCCACATTTCTATATTTAGTTTCTATTTCGGCTATAAAATAAGAGTCAGCAAAATGCCTCTCTGAGTTACAGTATTCTCCAATCTCTAGACTAAATATAGGTTAGCAAATTAAGTTCCCCGTTTAAAAGATCAATACTCAGACACTTTGAGGGGACAAAAGAATCTTTGAAATTAAGAACATTTTGACATTTAAATAAAACGAACAGAGCAGGATTGCTGAGGTTAAATCTCACTCATTCTGGCTCATTCCAAGGTCCCGCACTGGAGGATGGGGTGCTGCCAAGCACTTTCTAAGAGACCAGTGTGGGGAATTATAAGCTCCTGAGTTTACTAAATCTTTTTTAACTTTGAATAAGTCATTTCACCAAATTATAATTATAGCTTTTAAATTAAATTACCTGCTTATATGTCTAAAAAAACAGAGTCAACTGGAAAGTACTAATAGAGCTGATGAGCCTCATTCAACAGTGGGGAGAACAACCGGCCTTGGCTTTCCTTACCTTCTACCACCGATTATGAAAGTCTGGGTGAATTACCTAACTTTCCTGTGCTTCAGATTTTCCACTTGCAAGTGAGATATAAAATATGAACTGACCTACTTTGAAAAACAACTGAGAATAGGGGCCTCCCGGTGGCGCAGTGGTTGAGCGCTGGGTTGCGAAGCTGCCCGCAGCCTCTGCAGCGCCGGTTCGATCCCTGGCTGCTCCCCGGCCACCAGAGGAGGGTCCCACATGGCGCGCAGACCTCTCCTGCCGCCCGCTGCTCCCCTCAGCAGTGTACTTCGGTTCTTCTGCCTGCTCTGCTCCCCGCTCTGGCTCTGGTGAATTCTCTCACCCTCCTGTGCTCTGACTGTACCCAGTGCTTATATAAATAAATAAATCTTTAAAAAAAAAAAAAAGAAAGAAAAGAAAAACAACTGAGAATAAATATTTGAAAAGGCTTTGAGTTATTTGAAAGCTACAATCTAAATCCATAAGGTAGCAGAAAGTGTAAAGGTAAAATTAAGAGAAGATTAAAATAGGTAAATGCTGCAAAATATTGCTACTCTTCTGAAGGGACTCTATGAAAGCCTTTCATTTGAAAATTACGAAGTACTTCAGAAATATCCCATTTAAATGCCCCATTTCGGGGTAATAAATGCGTGTGTTAAAGTAATGTTAAGAAGAAAAATGGAACTTATTTCACAGTGCCATGCATTTGTTAACTGGCTTTACACAGGATCAGAAAGTGGCATGTGTATCTGCCCGCTGAGGTGCAGGCTCAGAGCAGCAGTGAACACCAGCAAAAACAAAGCAACAATGAATACAGAAACACACAAAAGAAAGGCATCCTAATGTAACAAAGCAGAAGACCACCAAAATAAAATAGATTTCTCTTCCCTTTTGGTTCTTTCTTCCTTATATTTTGGAAGAATAAAAAGCCCTCCCAAAAGTTCAAATTTCATCATAATCATGTTCACTAGTCTATTTCTCCTTCCAACTTAATCAGGCTACCTGTGAAGTGTTTCCAGATTTAAATTTCTTCCCTGAAAAGCCCTTACAAGTCTACAGAGCATTGAGACATCACTTTTAACTCAACATGAATTTAAGAATTCATACTAACTCTTGAATTAAACTACTCAATCACTAATAGCTGTGAACCCCAAAGCAACCCGTATTTGCTTATCCTATACACAGTCATGCACCACTTAACAATGTTTTGATACCGATGGACCACATATATGAGGCAGTACCCATAGACCAAGCCATAGAACCTAGGTGGGTAGGAGGCTGGATCACTAGGTGCATGTAGTGACCTTCTGCAGTGTGCTTACAATGAAGAAATTTCCCAATTACACATTTCTCAGAAAACATTCACGTCATTAAGCACAGCATGAGTATAATGCAAAAACAAAAACTGTTCTTTGCCTTTACCTCCATGCATATGGGAAGGAGAAAGACAGTACAAATGAGTAAAGCCTATGCAAATATCCGGAAATCAATAGATATTGTTCACTTTCAATGAGTCTGGAGCTAGAACTGGAGGTATCACCATATTCAGGTGACTACTTCCATCATATATACATGTATCATCATGTATATATAGAAATATGTATATATATATGACTATATAAAAAGTATAAATAACATCCATATTACATACATGGAGAGTATGTATATTAAATACACACAGAGAGAATAGAAACAAACAAATGAACTCTCTAGAAGTAATTCCCAGCCCTAAATAACAATACTGGAATGAGAGATCTGAGTGGAACAGAAGCCTAAAACTATTGCTTTCACCATCAGCTCTTCTACAGTTTGCTGCTACCGCATGTATACATCACTTCCAAGTCTCTAAAATTTTAAATAATTTCTTCACAATTACTCTTCTCTGCAAAGCATCCTATTCCTGATGACAATGATTATTCAGCTACTCAGCATCCTTCCATGCTATCTTCAGTTGGGTCTTTAGACCATGTGGATTAGCTTCTATTGGCAATATGCTGCAATTATTTGTTTGTTTGTTTGTTTGTTTGTTATTTATACAAGCACTGGGTACAGTCAGAAGCATGGGAGGGTGAGAGAATTCCCCAGAGTCAGAGCAGGGAGCAGAGCAGGCAGAAGGACCGAAGTACACTGCTGAGGGGAGCAGCGGGCGGCAGGAGAGGTCTGCGTGCCATGTGGGACCCTCCTCCGGTGGCCGGGGAGCAGCCGGGGTGCAGCCGGGGAGCAGCCGGGGATCAAACCGGCGCTGCAGAGGCTGCGGGCAGCTTCACAACCCAGAGCTCAACCACTGCGCCACCGGGGAGGCCCAGCTGCAATAATTTTTAATCATTTCAATGTATGTGTTTTCTATTAATAATTAGTCCCTGAATTATGATCTCTGATTCTAATTATTATTCACACTTACAGAGTAGTCTACCAAAAAAAATTATAGATGTGACCTCCAATAATTCACTGAAAACAACTAAAATATGCGTCTAAAAAAAGAATCTGGCAAAGACTCAAAATATAAGGCTACACATTTTATATATATATATATTTATATATATAGTTACATATAATAGTATATATAATTATAGAAAGGAGAGTCTTCCCCCTCATCTTCACTGTGATATAAGTGACAAAAAGCAGTTACTCAAAGACACAAAATGAGTTGATGCAGTATAATTATCTATTATAAAATTATCACCATAGCACTAATAGCTGTATCACATAATTACCATTTCTTTTAACATTTAAGATCTACTTTCTTAGTAACTTTCAACTATGTAATAGGTTGTTTGTTTTTTTTTTTAAAGATTTATTTATTTATTTATTTATACAAGAACCAGTGTACAGGCCAGATGCGAGGGAGGGTGAGAGGATTCACCAGAGACAGAGCGGGAAACAGAACAGGCAGACTGATGAAATACACTGCTGAGGAGAGCAGCGGGCAAGACAGGAGAGGTCTGCAGCACTCTCGCAGGACCCTCGCTGGCCAGCAGGGATTGAACCGGCGCTGCAGAGGCTACGGACAGCTTCACAGCGCAGCGCTCAACCCAATGCGCCACCAGGGGAGGCCCAACACTATAATTTTTTTTTAAATATTTTATTTTATATAATTCTTACATCATTTTTCATTTTTGCACAATGTATGCATTTTCATTTTGGTTATATTCCCCATACAATTGCATTCCCCCTTATTTTGACCCTAATCCTTCCACTCCCCCATCCCCTGTAGTGCATCTCTGCTTGTTGATTTTGATTTTTACTTTGTATTAATTAGTCTTTTTCCTGGTCCCTTATTTAGGTTTTCTACATTAAATTTTTTAAACCAATGAGCACAAATATCTTTGTTTTCATGTGTCCTCTTCAAATTCTTTCATCAACATATTATAGTTCTCAGTGAACAGAGCTTTCAGTTCCTTGGTTAAGTTTAGTCCTAAGTATTTTATTCTTTTTGATGCTGTTATAAATGGAAATTTTCTTAATTTCTCTGATAGTTCATGCTTGTGTATAGAAACACAACTGTTTCCGATAACTAATTTTATGTTCTACAACTTTAAGAATTTGTTTATTAATCCCAACAGCTTTTCAGTGGCGTCTTTAAAGTCTTTTATATGTAAGATAATGTTATTTACAAAGAGACAATTTCACTTTTCCCCAATTTAGATGTATTTCATTTCTTTTTCTTGCTTAACTGCCATGGCTAGGACTTCCAGTATCATGTTGAATAACAGTAATGAGAATGGACATTCTTGTCTTGATCTTAAGAAAATCTTTCAGCTTTACATCACTGAATCATATTAACTATGAGGTTTGTCATATATAGTCTTTATCATGCTGAGGTATGTTTCCTGTATTACCTACTACGTTGAGAGCTTTTCTTTATGAAAGGATGTTGAATGTTGTCAATTTTTTATTTGACATATATTGAGATGATCATATATTTACTCTTCATTTTGTTACTGTATCCATTCATTGATTTCCATTTGATCAAGTGTGAGCCCTCAATGTACTGTTGAATTTAGTTTGCTAAATGTTTTGTTGAGGATTTTTCCATTTTAGCTCATCAGACATATTGACTGATAATTTTTTTTCTTGTCATATCTTGTCTGGTTTTGGTATTAGGGTAATACTGTCCTCATAAAATCGAACTGGAATGCTCCATACTTTCCTTATTTTTGGAAGATTTTGAAGACTGGTATTAATTCTTTAGATACTTACAGTTCACCAGTGAAGTTATCTGGTACTGAACTTAGAAGGGCTGATTACTGCTTCAATCTCCCTACTCATTATTGTTCTGTTCAGATTTCCTATTTCTATGTGATTCAGTCTTGGTGGGTTATATATTTTTAGAAATTTATCCATTTCTTTTCTTCTAAGTTGGCCAATTTGTTGGTGTATAATTTTTTATAAGTCTTATATGATTCTTTGCATTTCTGTGGTACCAGTTCTAATTTCTGTTCTTTCATTTATAATTTTGAGTCATTTCTCTTCTTGGTAAATCTAGAGGTTTATCTATGACTATTCTTAAAAAAAAAAACCTCTTAGTTTCACTGATCTTTTGTCTTTTTAGTCACTACATCCACTTCTATCTTTATTTTGTTCCTTCTGCTAACTTAGGGCTTAGTTTATTTTTCATTATCTAATGCCTTGAAATGTAAATAGATTGTTTATTTGAGATCTTTCTTTTTGTCTTAATATGTGCTATAAACTTCCTATTAGTATTGCTTCTGCTTCATCCCGTAAGTGCTGCATTTCCATTTTTGTTTGACTTAAGATTATTTTTTACTTTTTCTTTTTGTTTCCTAACTGAACCAATGATTGTTTAGGGGGCTGAGTTGGTTAAGCGCCACATTTGTGAATTTTCCAGTTTTCTTATTGCAACAGATTTCTGGTTTCAACACCATTGTGGTTTGAAAATATGTTTGGTACAATTGTAATATTTTTAAATCTGTTAACACTTGCTTTGGTCGTAACATGTGATCTATCCTGGAGAATGTTTCATGTGACTTGAAAAGAACGTGTATCTTGCTTTTACTGAATGAAAAGTTCAGTAAATGTCTGTTAAGTACATCTGGTCTAAGATATAGTTTAATTCCACTATTTCCTTAGTGATTTTCTTTCTGGATCATCTATTCATTGTTAAAAGGGTGGGATCAGAGTCCCCCACCATTACTGTCTTGCTATCTCTTTCTCACTTCAGTTCTGTGAATATTTGCTTTATGTATTGAAATGCTTCTATTTAGGGGGCATAATATTTATATGTTATATCCTCTTATTGAACTGACCCCTTTATCACTACAAATGAGATGTTTATGGCCAAGTCAATATCAAGCTCATAAGACTAAACAACCACCTACCTTTAAGAACTTCACAGTGCCTTTTAATTGCAACTGGAGTCAAATGCAGAAAATTGGGGATCTAAAATAGAGATGTTTAAAGAATAAATTAACCAATGCATTAACACATGAAAAAAAAATTCCCCATTAAACTAAATTCTAGGCCCCACAAACCCTGTAGTAAATAGTAACTGATAGTTTTTTTATAATAGTGTAAGTCACATGTGTTATGAATGCCTTAAAAATGTAGATTCAGTATCAACTATCTTATGATGACAATGTTGGTGGAGAAAGTAAACATTATGTTTACAGAATCCTTCCTTCCTGCTATCAAACTACAGGTATAAATATGTTTTCCTCACAAAACTGAGAATATTTAAGGACATTAATTAAACAAGTCATTATTTAATTTCCCTAAAATACAAAGTATTGTGATACATTTCCCACTTAATATCTTATAAATTGAATGGATAAATGATGCTAGCAAATCTTAACTGAACCATTTAAAGAAGGGAGGAATAGATTTATGACACTAAATTAAGAGGCTATCATCTTCTTCAAAGGGTCCGTGAAAATTAAGAAAGACCAGAGATTTGATTCATTCAAGTAAATAACAGCTCCAAGAAATTTTTTAAATAATGTTAGGCACCTGCAGATAGAATTTAGTTTCAAGAAACTCATTTGAGAGTTGATCAGGAAAGGTTTATTTTAATCAAGAGAAAACAGACACTAAAAACTGGGATTATGGGTAGTTGCCTGTGTTTTCTCTGCTTTCATTTTTGAAATGCGAAATGTAATGTCAGAACCATAAATGCAAGAAAATAATAGATAATGCTTACATAGCATTTGTATTAGCACTGGTCTATGTACTTTAAATATATTAATTCAGTTAATATATTAACTCAGTTGAATATATTAACTCAGTTATCCATCAATATGCACTAGAAATGGATGAAGTATACAGGTGATTCATACATACACAGTTGTTGTTGATTCCATTGTAGGTAAAAGGAAACCACCTAAGATTTGCATTTCCAGGCTAAACATACTGATATTTTCTTCAAAAAGTTTATGATTTGGGGGCCTCCCCGGTGGCGCAGCGGTTGAGCGCTGGGTTGCGAAGCTGCCCGCAGCCTCTGCGGCGCCGGTTCGATCCCCGGCTGCTCCCCGGCCACCAGAGGAGGGTCCCACATGGCGCGCAGACCTCTCCTGCCGCCCGCTGCTCCCCTCAGCAGTGTACTTCGGTCCTTCTGCCTGCTCTGCTCCCCGCTCTGGCTCTGGTGAATTCTCTCACCCTCCCGCACTTCTGACTGTACCCAGTGCATGTATAAACAAAACAAACAAACAAACAAATAAATAAATAAAAACATGCCTCTATTAAAAAAAAAAAAGTTTATGATTTGGGGCATCCCTGGTGGCACAGGGGTTAAAATCTCAGGGCTATCAAGCTACTGCCAGCCTCCGCTGGTGGCATGAGTGCAACCCCAGCCAAGGAGGTAACCCAAATGGTGCAGCAGACCTCTCCTGTCTCACCTGCTATTCCCCTTAGCAGTTTATTTCAATAAATCTGCCTGTTCTGGTAGGAGTGCAAGAAAGATCAGCATTTATTTAGACATAAGTCCTTGTTAATGAACCAGCAACTTGTCTTACCTTTAAAAGTTCTAGATTTCCCTCCTTGGGCATAGGCACCCCTCTTTTCACTGGATAACCCATTCGAACAGGAAGAGGTACAGCTGAGGGTTTAAAGGGTGCTGCAACGGGATAAACACTGGGCCAGTCCTGGTCAACAGACATTTTCTCTGTCCTAGGAGGTAGTGCCTAAGGAACATAAGACAGTTTCGTAGTTTAAATATAAACATGTTCTTTAACTGTAAAGCTAAAAAGCCGCAATTAAGAGAAACATAAGCAGAATTGCAACCATAAAACCTCCCACAAAGCTGCTTCTGTCAAATGATGAAACACCACACCTGTCTAAACATCTCTGCACTGTTCCTAAACCCTCAGGCAAGGGGCCACCTTTAGCAGCACGTGTCCTCTGCCAAAAAGTTCTCTATTGAATACATGAGTGATGAGAACTTGGAAAATATAAGAAAAATAAAGAAAAAGGACTAGGAAATTAGAGTTAAGCTGATTGAGTAAATACGCTGTAAAAAAAATTATATGTCCCAGAAAATTGCTACATGAGTCTAGTCAATCACATTAACATATATTTTAAAAAAAAATTAACAACAAATTTAGTCAACAGAAAGGGATGGCCAGCATATAAAAACTGGATTTAAAGAGGCAAATCCGGGCCTCCCTGGTGGCACAGGTGTTAAAGTCTCAGCACTATCAAGCTATTGCCAGCCACTGTGACATGAGTTCAATACCTGGCCAAGGAGTTAACCCACAAGGCACAGCAGACCTCTCCTGTCTCGCCCGCTGCTCCCCTCAGCAGTGTATTTCAGTAGATGCTCCTGTTCTGCTCCCCATTCAGTCTCTGGTGAATGCTCTCACCCTCCATACCTCTGGCCTAGACTACAGTTCTTGTATGTATAAATAAATAAAAATAAATCTTTAAAAAAATAAAGAGGCAAATCCGACAAGACCCATTTAACCACACCAATACCAGTGTGATATGTGTCCTGGAAGAAGGCAGTACCCCTGTAAAAATGACTGCTCTGGACAATTAATAGGCTGCCCTTTATTTTCTAACTAATGCACCTTTGTTCTGACCCAAGCTCACCAAGTGACCTGATAGTTTGGATTCCTCCACAGAAATGCCCACAGGATAAAACTAGTCAGATTAGGGCCTCCCCTGGTGGCACAGCAGTTGAATGCTGGGCTGCAAAGCTGCCCACAGCCTCTGCAGTGCCGGTTCGATCCCCGGCCACCAGGCAAGGGTCCCATATGGTGCGCAGACCTCTCCTGACACGCTCGCTGCTCCCCTCAGCAGTGTATTTCGTCGGTCTGCCTGTTCCGTTTCCCGCTCTGGCTCTGGTGAATTCTCTCACCCTCCCGCGCTTCTGACTGTACCCAGTGCTTGTACAAATAAATAAATCTTTAAAAAAAAAAAAAAAACTAGTCAGATTAACGTATGCATCCCATCCCATTCCAAAATCATCAGCAAAAGTCGGTCCATATTCTGGTTGCTATGCCTATTGCCTGCAAGTGTATGAGTCAGCCTCTCAAACATGTTCCATTGTTGGGGTACTGGCAAAAAAAAAAAAAAAATCAGTCAGACTGGAGTCAGCAACATGGCAGGCACCATGTATATAACCCTTTGGAAAGCCATCTTTGTCAGCACCCTTCTGCCTTCCCACACCCTCTACCTCACTTCACAACTTCAGAAACCAGTCAGATGGTATTTACAGGGCATACTAGTCATTTACCTTTCTTCTCTGGGGCCTTTCATGCTTGGAAGTTCTTTCTGTTGTACCTAAAAGACAACACAATAGTTACAGAGAATTTTGTAACATAGATGTGGTCAACACATGATCACATAATTAGAACACAATATAAGGTACTGAGTGGCAGAAAAATGAAATAATATACATTTTGGGTAAACTCAGGAACTAAAATAATCTTAATAAAAATATCAAGTCACAAATAGTTAAGAAAATTCCAGTTATTTGAATATAAAGTGTACTGTGATTGATAATATAGTGAACTCATCATCTAAAGAAATCTTTTCAATACATTTTAAGGTTCATTGTCAAACTCAGTCTCTGATCTTAAAACATCTTAGAAATAAGCATTTTACATCTTTGATAGTAACTGCCTTAAAATGTTCTAATTATAAATATAGTTGCTCACATTTGGAGTTATTCTGTTTTTTACCAAACCTTCAGTTTTTCCTTCTCTAATGTATGTTAAATTGTCAGTGCCACAATAACACCGAAAACAAAAATCATACCCATTTTTCATAAATCACATAACTAGGGTGATACTTACACACAGCATATACCCTTTTTTAAAAAAAGATTTATTTATTTATGCATACAAGAATGGGGGTACAGGCCAGAGGTACAGGGGGTTAGAGGATTCACCAGAGACAGAGTGGGGAACAGAACAGGCAGACTGACTGAAATCCACTGCTGATGGGAGCAGCAGGTAAGTTAGGAGAGGTCTGCTGCGCCATGTGGGCTGCTTCCTGGCCGGGAATCGAACTCGTGCTGTAGAGTCTGCGGTTAGCTTCAGAGGTTGTGTTTTAAGCCCTTGTGCCACCAGGGTGGCCCCAGCATATACCCTTTAAAATATTACTATGCACCTCTAAATAAATGTTTTGCTGTACTAAAATAATAATAGCTATATTTACTACATCTCTTCAGTACACTAAATTCTGTGCTAAATGTTTTCCATTATTTTCTTAACCAACCTTATTCTTCGCAGTAACAGTGAGTACTATTATTACACTGAGAGGTCATTTATAGCCAAGAGGAGCAAGGAGTTAAGGTGACCACAGCACCTCACACAGGACAGATTACTCTCTGAACCACCTCTAGCTTCACCCCCATCTGCAAGCCCCACAACCATGCAGAACTCCTAGTACCAGGCCCTTGAGTCTTTCTCTGGACTTTGTTCTCTCTGCCTGGAATATACCCCAATTCATCTGCCTGAGTTCTGTCCCCATCCACCTCCCTACTTCATTTCTTCATCCTACAAACTCCTATTCATGCCTGAATTCCTCTTCATTTATTCATTCAAAAATTGAGTGATACTGTCTACCAGAAATTAGGAAGGTAGCAATGCACAAAAGAAAGCCCCGGCTCTCACAGATGGCAGAGTCTGTCAAATAAAGCAAATCTTTAACAAGCAATTTCAATGAGCACGACAAATATTAACAGAAACATATCACAGGGGCTATGTTAGTGGGCATAGTGGGTTCTTGAAACCTTAAGGATGAGCAGGAGGTAGCTCTGGAAACAAACAACTGAGAGAAAATATTCTAGAGAGAGCAAGAATATGGAAAATCAAAGCAAACAAGTTCAGTATAGCTGAAATTTAAGAGCAAAACAGAGCAGAGAGCAAAGCTTCACTGGCATCACTGGCAAAGCTTCTGATCCCTTTTTCCAGTCTTCCCAATTCCTGTAATGATGTAGGGGTAGGACTGGCACAGGGCAGGTTCTTTATGATCCAACAGACCAGTCAAGGAGTCTTTGGTGGCTTTCTCAGACTTTTTTTGAGCTTTACATGCATCACAGCAACCAGGTACATTGGCAGACAGGAGTGCCAGGGGGCCAGGAGGCCGGTAGGCCTCCAAGCCCCTGGCAAGTCTTCACTCTGGGCTTCCCTGGCCTTCTTTTCTCCCCTTTTCTCTCCTACCTCTCTCTTGCTTCTCTCCTGCTTCTCCTCCTGCTTCTCCTTCTCTAGGTGACTATCTCAATACTCTTCCCATGGCCCACAGAAGTAAACAAGACAGCTTGCAACAACGTAACAACTGCAGGTGCCCCATCAGGCAGGGCAATCCTAATGGTGTGAGGGCAGAAAAGCCTGAAAAACTATTTTACCCTGCAAATGACCAGTTATGTAACTGCTCAAAAATCTAACAAAGCCTTGAGGACCAAATCTAACAAGCCCTTGGGCCTTTCCCCTTCAGCCCCATATCAAATCTATAAGTAAGATGTTAGTTCTACCTTCAAAATATATCCCAAACCCAACCATACAACCTTTTCCACTATTAATTACCTCAACCCTAGTCACATTATCTCATTGGCACTACAACAAAGCTCCCTGCAGGTCTCTTGGCTTCCACTCTTAGACCCCGAAAGTTAGCTCTCCACATAGCAACCAGAGATCAGTTAAAAGTGTAATCACATATCACTTTCCTTTTCACAATCTTTCAATGTGATCCCAAACTTAAAATAAAAGCTAAGATATATGCCTACAAGCATTTACAAGATCAGGACACTCTGTATCACTCTCTCTGAGACACTAACACTCTTCTCTTTGCTCATTTAACTATAGCCACGTTGACCTTCTTTCTGCTCCTTGATCATATAAACTTATTCCCCATGCCAGTAATGATCTTTCTCAGTTCTTGTCTGGGCTCTGAGCTCTGCTCAATTTGTCATTTCCCAAGGAGGTCCTTCCTGATTGCCCTGTAGCCACTACACTCCAACCCATCTATCCTCCACACCCAGATTTATTTTTCTTCAAATCACTACCTGATATTTTATTCAGTTGTTTACTGGTATGTAGTCTGACTTCCCCACAAAAGTGCAAATTTCATGAGACAAGGGACCTTGCTATTTCCCAGGCCCTAGAACACTGCCTAGTTTAGTAGTTGTGGAATGAATGATTAAATGAAAGAAAAATTAAAAACAAACTAGCATTAAGAGTAGGAAGCATTGGCTTAAAATTTATCTTCACTCAATGAGAAGCCATTTGTAGATTCTAAAGTAGTGAGTGGTAGTATCAGATTTGCTTTTTGAACATTTCACTCTGGCGGTAAAAGTGAGCTGGTGGTTTAAACCCTTCAGTCAGTAGAGAGATTAGAGATATTATAGATGACACTGGCCAGGCCTGCTCCCACCCCCGACAGAGCTCCCCCCACACACACCACCCCCGCCCCCAGTCACTCAGGTTATGCTTCCATTACAGCACCTCACATAACAGTGCGTCTCCGTCACACATCTGTCTTTCCCCCTGGACTCTACTAGGGCAATGCCTGGAAGGGGCATTCCTACTATAGTCTCTCTTAAGTGAAGGTCACCTCGCTAACGGCTACTGATTAAAGGTCACCTCACATGTGGCACAGCCAGGCCTGGAACCCGGAGCTGCATTTTGTTCTGACAGCTGTATGCTGCTTTTACAGTTCAGGAAAACCGTGGCTCGACACTGTCCAACAAACATTCCCGAGCAGCGGGAACTAGAGAGCGAGACAACCCGTGACAGTGCTAGTGACGGGAGCACCTGAGAACGCGGGTCACCGGGAGGGACACTCGCCGCGCCCGGGAGGCTGAGAAGCAGAAACCGGTGGCGAGGGGCCCGCGACCCGCGCGCGGAGAGACAACTCGCGGCCCCGCCGGGGAGCGACGGGCAGGCGTGGGTCAGCCGTCACGGGGCGACCTTCCCTCTCACCTCCCCCAAAGCCCGGAGGCGACTCGGCTGACACTCACGCAGGCTCGGCCTAGGAGCGCGAGGGGCCGGAGACACCTCGGTGGAAAAGGCACGAAGAGTCCAGGTGGCCGGCCGCAGAGCCAGCCACGCGGGGCGGGCGACCGCCGCCATGGCGGCGAGGACGGCAAAGCGGAGAGGACACGCTTGGGGGCGCGCCCGCGCAGGCGCAGTTCTGGGGCCGCTCCCGCGCAGGCGCGCTTCTTTTTGCCCCGCCCCTTGAGCTGGAAAAAACGGAAGCGCGCGGTCTGCGAATTCATAGCCGGGTTAAGAAGTCCAGAAAGACACTCCCAAATGGAAGAAAGTTCCATTGGAGCCAGGGAGGTGACCCACGTAGCACAGCAGGCCTCTCCTGTCTAGCCCGCTGCTCCCCTCAGCAGTGTATTTCAGTCATTCTGCCTGTTCTGTTCCCTGCTCTCTGGTGGATCCTCTCACCCCCAACACCTCTGACTTGTACCCCAGTTCTTGTGTGCATAAATAAATATATCTTTTTTAAAAAATAGTCTTAGGTCACATTTAGGTAAGTTTTGTTTCATTTTGCTTTGTTGCCTGACTAGTTGGTAACCTTTGAGATGGTAAAGATAGGGGTCTTAAGACCTTTATATATAAAAATCTGTGTGTGTGTGTGTGTATATATATATATATATATCATATATGTGATAAATACATGTGTATATATCATCTGATAAATACATGTGTATGTATCATATACCATATATATGGAATGTATCATATATGTGGTATATATATGATATGTATGTGGTAAAAACATTTACATTAATGAAATATTCTCAATTCATAGGACATATATTTTCTAATAAATTTCTCAATTAGGACATACACCGAGTATTGCTATATACTTAAGTATTTAAAATATACTTTAGTATTTCAAAGACAAACCTAAATTTTTTATCACTTCATGAAGAAGATTCAGCTTTCTCCATCTTAAACTAAGAATATACTGAAGCTTTGTAGACTGACTTTTAAAAAGTAATTTAAAACAAAACCAGGAAAGTAATAAAGAATTTCATAGAAAATACACCTTCTGGGAAGAAGGAAAAAAACAAACACCTGAGTATTTAAACAATTTGGTTTGGGCGGTAGTGGTTGAAATAACAAGATTGGAAATGTAAAAAAACCATAAACTTTTCTAACAGACTAAAATAAAGTGCTATGGTCAAAATACAGTGGCACTTCATTCAAGGCCCTTTAAATTCTTTGAACAGTTTATTCTTCTCAGTGCTTTTTTGGCAATTTACCCAAAATTGTAAAATTGTAGAGTACAGCAAAGAACAAAAAACCTCCATTTTTAATGTTTTGAGAAATCCCCATACTGTTTTCCACAGGGGTTAGGCCAATCTATACTCCCACAACCAGTGCACAAGGGGTCCTTTTACTCCACACCCTCACCAACATTTGCTGTATCTGGTCTTTTTGATCTAGGCCATCTCACAGGTGGGAGGGAGCATCTCACTGTGATTTTGATCTGCATTTCCTTGAGGATCAGTGATGATGGGCATCTGTCACTTGCCTGTTGGCATCTGTGTTTTCTTTGGAGAAGTGTCTACGTAACCCTTCTGCTCATTTTTTTTTTTTTGAATGAACTCTGTTTTTGTATGAACTCTGTGGATCTTTGAGATCAGCCCTTGTCAATGGTGTAATGTGCAAATCACTTCCCCAATTAAGTAGGAATATACATCATACAAATCTGAATTTAAGTTACTTTTCATAATAAGGGTGAACTAAATTGTTTTTCACAGTTCTTCCAATTCTCTAATTTTTAGATTTAATTTTAGAACTCACTAGTAATGTTTTGTGACAAATACTTTGAGAAGAGACTGGACTAACGGATAGATGGAAATACTATTTAAAATTCAGTAAATGTTATACAAGTAAAATAATAAAATTAGATATAAGCTGAAAATAAATAGACTCCAAGGAAATAAAAGTAAATAGACACCTACTCATTAATAAACTTTTTTTCTTATAGGTTCCAAACTATAAGAGAAATTAACATAAAACACATCATTTGGTTGTAGTTGACACATGATTATTTACAAGTTTTGCACATGATTTCAAAACTTGGATGTATATTATAAATATGTTTGAAGATTTAAAAACTCCTGATGCAACAAATCAACCTCTGAAGTATAGGTCTGAGGTATAGTCTGCAGTATAGTCTGGGTATCAGTTTTTAAAAATGATTCCTGGTGGTTTTAAATGTGGAACCACAGAATCTCCAGGAGCATAAGGAAATTGAATCTTGCAATCTAATATCAGTGTAAAGAAATGTTTCTCATTGTCCAGGCATTAGAATAGAAGTTATTTATATTTTTCAAGTGAAATATTTATTATAATCCTTTCAGTACTGTTATATGTAATGGTGTATAAGTGCCTAATTTCAAGTAAAGTAAGAGTGACTTTAAATAGTCACTTGGATTTTTAAATCCTATACTTGACTTCTCAGTGACTCAGAAGCATTTGGGAACAGAAATTTCTCCAGGCTGACACACACATGGAGAGCCATCATGTGTCGCTTTGATCAAGGCTAATTGCCCATTTTGCAGATTAATGCAGATTAAATTCAAAGTAGTATTGTATCACAGGTAGAATATATTGCAGCTATTCTGAATCTTTGTCCATACCCAGACACATTTGCAAATATTCCCCCTCATGAGAAGGTAACACGTGTCCACATCAACTATATGAGCAAGATAGTTTAATTCACATCACACTGCAACATAGTCCTGATACCTCTTTGCAAAGTATTTCCTTTTCCATTCTAAAAGCCAGGACTTGTGTCATATAGGCTGAATGAAACAACCATTTTCAAGTTGATCACATTTAAAACAATTGCCTGTATATAGAGCTAATTCTACAATAAATTGTTTTATTATCTAGGATTCAGATATAGCAAAAATTATCTCAGTTCTTTGCTACCCAGTTGATCTGTGTTGGTATTATCCACTAAAAAGAGAATGTGAATTTTTTTAAATAAAGTTTATTAAAGCACAAAGGATTTTAGTCACACTCTAAATGATGCATTGCAAGAGGGTCTTGCCTATCACAAATATCACTGATAATTTGTTCTGTTATTGTTGGCACAGGTTTGGCAATGAATGGCAGAGAAGAACTTTGAAGTGCGCAAGTGTGTTTCTAGACAGGGTCTTTCACAGGTGTTGAAGCTGTCTGGACTCATGTTCTTAGAGATCTGAGACAACAGAATCATTCTCTAAACCATTAAAGTTTGAAGAGTAGCCTTTAATATTTCAGACAGCTGTGTAATGGCACACTGTTGTTTTTTCATTTCTTTTTTTTAACAACATTTAAAAACTAAGCTTGGTTTAAGATCACTTCTGATGACAGTTTGAACTGGTCCGCCAGCTGTTTAAATGTTCCTGACATCTGCCGGGGAAGATGGAAAGCCTGGCGTTTTCCTGCCTAAATGTACACCATGTGTTCTTTAAAAAATATGTTTTGTCTTTAACAACATCAGTAAAAATGACATGATTAATTGAGAGATGGTATGTTTGGGGAGTACATACTTGCAATCCTTTACCTCTGTCATTTGCCACCTTTAAACATAGACACATAAATCTCCCAGAAATGGTATGATATAAATGGCCCATATGCAATTAAAATTAGAAGAATTTATTTCATTTATACTTTATGAGCTATAAAACATTATTGCTTATAAAAAGAGAATTTCCTTGGGGCGTCCCTGGTGGCGCAAGGGTTTAAGAGACAACCTATGAGGCTGCCCGCAGCCTCTGCAGCATGAGTTTGACCCCCGGCCAGGTAGCTACCCACATGGCGCAGCAGACTTCTCTGACTCACCTGATGCTCCCTTCAGCAGTGTATTTCAGTCAATCTACCTGTTCTGTTCCCTGCTCTGTCTCTGGTGAATCCTCTCACTCCCCGCACCTCTGGCCTGTACCCCAGCTCTTGTATGTATAAATAAATAAATCTTTAAAAAAAGAGAGAGAGAATTTCCAAATGTTCATTATCATTTTCCCAAGGTGTATAGCAGGTAGTGGCACAGTTATATGAAATATAATCTGTGCAATAACCTTAAATACACTAGCAATTATTAGAAATGAGTCTGAATATTTGCAGAAAGACCTATAGGATGCCCAGGCTTGGTGTGATTGGACTGTGCTTTTACTCAAGGCTTAGAGGACTTATTTAGGGGGTCAATGTCTGGCAACGTTTGCAAGTCCTCTGCATCCTTCATGGGGAAATTGCCTGTGGGACGTGTTTTATACCACAAGACAGACAGGAAAGGAAAAACCTGAGTGTTGGAGATTTTAACCTTTGCTCAGGAAGTATCTGCACTGTGTTTTGCCTCCAAATAAGTAAAAATGGACAGTGGGAGAAGGAGAAGCACATGACCAAGTGTGACTTGAACTTGGAGTCACTTCATCAGCTGCAGTGCAGGGTTGTCCTAGTTGTCCTATAGCACTTGAAAGGATGGTGTCTCCAGAAACAGCCAGACCCCCACGGGGAAGCTAAAAAAGGGTGGGGCTGGGGTGTGGATGGTGCAGGCTGTGAAAGTGGATCACGCAGATCACTGGCTTCTAAGACACAAAGAAGTAGTAAATAACCTTAGAAACTGCACATTCTTTGCAGTCCCTGGGGGAGGCTCTTACTTGGAAACACGGATTTATGTCACATTAAAATTATTACTCGGGTCTGTTGTTCTGCAAAACAGAATGCATTAGGTGAATTAACAGATGTAATGTAAGAAAAGACAATTGTTTCATGGCCAATTGTTTCCATTTTATATAGGGAATATCAAAATTAACAAATTTTAATAAGCTTATCTAAGATCTCAAGGCAAGTAAGATGCAAACCGCACTAAGTTCCTGTTTCCTTCATGCCAAAGAGTATTTCTACCATATTATCTTACTTTCCTCAACAGCAGTACCTCAGTTGGTTGTCACTGAACCAATATTTTGGGATAGTATTTTACTCACTGACTAGAATCTACCAAATAAATAAAAAGCACCAAACTTTACATGCCTGGAATTATAAAGAACCATGAACATAATTTAGTCCAAATCATCTATCTATGGATGACCAAGCTACGTCTAAAGTCACCTATATAATTAGTTATAACTGGAAACAAAAATGAATGTTTAAGGCTAGCACATTTTTCTTATAAATGGCAAGTGGTGGAAGGTCTGAAAGTACAATGTTTTTGAGAGAGATTACATTCACATAACTTATTACAGCATATTGTTACAATTTTTCAAAATTATTTATCCCTGTTAACCTCTTACTGTGCTTCATTTATAAATGAAGCTTGATCACCAATATTCACGTATAGAAAGAAAATCGTAGTGTAGATAGTGTTCAATACTATCAGTATTTCATTCCCAAATGTCACGGCAATTACTGTATTCATTCTAACTATATCTTAACATCCCACCAAACAATTTTCAGTTCTCTATGAAATGTGAGTGGGACATTTTTCTTGTCTTATTGTTTGAAATCTAAAAAATTATGTGAGCTGCTTTTTTTAAAGATTTATTTATTTGTGCATACAAGAACTGGGGTGTAGAACAGAGATGCAGGGGTGTGGGGGGAGTGAGAGGATTCACCTGAGACAGAGTGGGGAGCAGAACAGGCAGATCTACTGAAGTACACTACTGAGGGGAGCAGCGGGTGAGACAGGAGAGGTCTGCTGTGCCATGTGGGTCAGCTTCCAGGCCTGGAACCTAACTTGTGCTGAGGTAGCCGGGGATAGCTTGATGGTTTTGAGACTTAACCTGTGTGCCACCAGGGAGGCCCTGGAGGAGGAGAATTGATGGTAAAGGCCAGCAGCCTGAGGGGAGGGAGCAGGGATGGAGGAATGATGGCTTTTCAAAGGTAAATGCCTAAATCCCTTTGTTCTAAAATCAGCTGGGATTCAACAGAAAGGAATGCAGTGTGGACAGTACAAAAATAATATACCTCTTTTTAAAATGTACCCAGCTGATGGTAGAGGAAAGCAAAGCTGGTGAAGGGCCAGTGCCTCTGGAGGCCACAGGGCCAGAGGCTGCTGAACCCAGGGCCTCACTTCTGCATCTCAGGCTCTTTCCTTGGAGGGCTACCCTGTCCCCTTGCTGGGAGACCACTGTGCTGTCCAGACCAGTTGGCTACACAGAGATGACATAAGAGAATACAATGAAGCTCTTACATCTGAGTGGTATTTTCATTGACTGACATCAATGGTAATAAATCCCCCTGGATTTGGCCCATTTTAAAAACTGAAATTCAAAGTTGGAAAGTAATTCACCCACATAGTAACAGCCAGGGAAGGGCCTCCTGGAGTGACGGCCTGGCATCCAAATGGGTTGTAAAAGGGCGTGGAGAAGCCCTGCAGGCTGCATTTCCAGGGAGCCAGCAGAGGCTGCTCTCTCCTCTGCCCTCTGTTCAGAAAACACAGAATGTGATGATTCGGGGGGAAAGCCTTTATGGAACCAGTGTTTCTCTTCAGGGTCCTCAAAATCATTGATTTCCTTTTTTTTTTTTTTTAAGATTTATTTACTTGGGCCTCCCCGGTGGCATAGTGGTTGAGCACCGCGCTGTGAAGCTGTCCCCAGTCTCTGCAGCACCCGTTTGGTTCTGAGAACCCCACATGGCGTGGTGGACCTCTCCTGCCTTGCCTGCTGCTCCCCTCAGCAGTGCCCTGGGTCCGTCTGCCTGTTCTGCTCCCCGCTCTGACTCTGGTGAATTCTCTCACCCTCCAGGGCTTCTGACCTGTACCCCCGTTCTTGTAAAAATAAATAAATAACTCTTTAAAAAATTTTTTTTAAAAAGTTACTTTAAGAAGAAAAAAAGATTTATTTATTTATACAAGAACGGGGGTACAGGCCAGAGGCGCAGGGGTTGGGGGCAGTGAAAGAATTCACCAAAGACAGAGTGGGGAGCAGAACAGGCAGACAGACAGAAAACACGGTGCCATGTGGGTTGCTCCTTGGCTTACTGGGAATTGAACCTGCGCTGCAGAGGCTGTGGACAGCTTCACAGAGTGGCACTCAACCCACTGTGCCACCGGGGAGGCCCAAAATCACTGATTTCTTGTACACAGAATTCCAAGAACTCAATGTTCTTTCATAATTAATGTCTTCCTTCCAAGTCATCCAGACAAGGCTGATGAAAGGCCAGGGTTTATCTGAAATGGAGTGAATGCTGGTAGAGGGGTCTCCCCAGCCCACCTCACCCCCAGTAGTGTTAGTTCTAATCCTCTCTGCAAAAAACCTCTAAAGGATCTATCACCCAGCAGAATTGGATCCTGTTATTTTCTATAATTTAGGCAGAAGAGGACTGGAACCAGGTCAGTGAGCTGGGACATGAGTAAGCATTTCCAGGGCAATTTATTATATGAATATAATAAACTGACATCTAGTCATTGATATTTGTTAGTTTTAACCCACGTTCCCACCTCAAGATAACACAATGAATATCCTCTTACACACTCATTGGCGTACCTTTTCAAATATATTAATCTTCATTTCTAAAGTGAAATTGTGAGGTAGAAACTGTGTTTGCAGTTCCGTAAATATGGGAACAGTTTGTATCCCCATCAACATATTTACACATACTGTTTAGAGGCACTTGTAGTACTTTTAACATCTCACATTTACATTGTTGCATATTTACTACTCTTTTTAAAAAAGATTTATTCATTTATGCATACAAGAGCTGAGGTGTAGGCCAGAGGTGCGGGAGGGTGAGGGATTCACCAGAGACAGAGTGGGGAGCAGAACAGGTAGATCTGCTGAAATAGACTGCCGAGGGGAGCAGCGGGCAAAAGAGGAGAGGTCTGCTGTGCCATGTGGGTTAGCTCCCTTGCCGGGAATGGAACTCATGCTGCAGTGGCTGCCAATAACTTCATAGTGCTGAGACTTAACCCCTTGTGCCTCCAGGGAGACCCCTTTACTACTTTTCTTGAATAGCACAATGTCCTCTTTTGAGTCTGTATATCAATGTGATGCTAGGTTAGAATGGAGGGCACTGGCCTGGGTAGCACATACTATGGCATCCCAATCACACAACATCAAAAAGTTCACATTTTACTGCTTCAAAAAGTAAAACAAAAAGTAAAACAGGATTTCTTTAAGGTTGTCATCTGAACTTTATAAAATCTAAGTACATGCATTACTGTAAGGGGAGTTATGCTGACAAATTAGCATCCTAAATAGTTAACTCTGCATATGGACTTAAGTTGATATTCTCTTCAAATGCAGGTCACAGAGGATGGCTGTGACTGAGAGGTGGCTGCCTATGGATACAGATGGGCTTTCACTCATTCCAGACCTGGATTCCAGATGACCTGCTCGGTGCCTGTGGGGAGCTCTGTGGAGACTTGGAGACATCTGAATGCTGTTTCTCTGCCTGAAGAAGATGGTTTGAAATGGATCCTTTTGTTAAGATTTCTGTCCCATGAAACGTTAAATCAGTGTTTGAAACAGACTGCATTTGCTTCGAATGTATACATGCATCCACACTTCAAACACATGGATAATCTACAAAATTATTCCAAATTTGAAGTGATATATGATCTGATATTCTTCCAGTAATAATAGTTGAAAAAGTTAGTTTGTATTTATACTAAATTATTTGCATGTTTACCATGTTTTTGAATAATAGAATTAGTCTGCATTGAATAGCAATTCGAATATTAAATTACTGTAGGATTTTAATGTGTGAAGTTATACAACTTAAAACATGTTCTGGTGGCGTAGGGGTTAGGTCTCAGTGCCGTAACTGCTAAGGCCTGAGTTCTATCCCCGGCCAAGGAACTAACTCGCATGGTGCAGCAGACCTCTCCTGTCTTACCTGCTGCTCCCCTTAGCAGTGTACTTCAGCGAATCCACCTATTCTGCTCCCCACTCTGTTTCTGGTGAATCATTTCACTGCCCCTCTACCCTACACCCATTTTATTTTATTCTATGCAAATAAAAAAAAAGTTGAGAGGCCAACCCACTTTGGATTTCAAGCTGAAATTCTTTACTAGACTTTGAGCCACCTCATTGATGGCTTACTCTGCACAGCATTCCTGCAGATGGTGGTTACTGGACTCCAAGGACACAGGAACTGTGTATGAGAGCCTGCCCCGCACATTCCAAGCTGCAATAGTCATCGCCTAGCTTCAGGAGACGCCTCCTGCACTTCTTTCTGCCTACTTACCGAAGGTAGAGGGCTAAAATGCTTTTCTCCACCTTTTTGTTGCCCGAAATGAGAGTGTCAGACAAACATACTTTTTCCCTTGTATATATTCTTGTTATTATTTAAGAATTTAGACTTTATGAACTATTTCATACCCCTCGTTCAATCAAGCAAAGGCTTGATGCTTTCACCTCCTGCTAGTCCCCAATCTGACCTCTTCATCCTTTGTCTTCTACTTCTTTGGTCCAGGCCATCTTTTCCTTCATTTGGATTTCTGAGAGCTTCCAAGCTGCCCCCTGCTGCTTTTTTCCTCCCTACAATCTAGCATCCACCCAGTAATCAAGTGAGGTTCTAAAAGAATAAAACATATCGAGATTTCTATCCCCTGTTTTGCTGAGCATGATCCCTTCTAGCTCTATCCATGTTGCTGCAAATTGCATGTGTTTATCCTTTTTGATTGCTGAGTTATATTCCATGGTGTATATGTACCGCATCTTCTTGATCCAGTCATCTATTTTTGGGCATTTGGGTTGTTTCCAAAGCTTAGCTATTGTAAACAGTGCTGCTATGAACATAGGGGTGCAGGTGCCCTTTTGAATTAATGTTTCCGTGTCCTTTGGGTAAATACCTAGGAGTGGAATTGCTGGATCAGAAAGAAAAAGAAAAATACTAGATGGTCTCGCTCATAGCAGGAATTTAGAAAACCTAAATAAGGGACCAGGAAAAAGACTAATTATAATAAAATCACAATCAAAATTAACAAGCAACTATAAACCAGAGACACACTACAGGTTAGGGAGAAGGGAGCAGGATCAAAACCAGCGGGGGGAAATTGTATGGGGACTATCACCAAGATGAAAATGCGTACATTGTGCAAAAATGAAAAATGTAAAAAATATAAAATTAAAAAAAATAAAATATTTCTACCCCTGTATCACTCTGGATAAAATCTAGCATCCTTGCAAAGATGATCTACTTGGTCTGTCTGCTGGCTATTTCTCTGACCTAATCTCCCATCAAGTCCTTGGCTCACACCACCCTTATTTGCTGTGCCACAAACACAGCAGATCCACTTTTGTTTCAGGTACTTTGCCTTTGTGCTGTGTCCGGAACACTCATAACCAGATGTCTGCACTGACCCTCTTTCTCTCCACTCCAATCTCTGGTCAACTGCTCCCTTTACAGGGAGGCACTCCTTAACCACCCCTTTTCCCTTAAATACTTTTACTGAAGTAACATTGGTTTATAACATTGTTTCAGGTGTATTTTATACTCCATCATCTGTTTCTAACATCAGGATCACCATCAAAAGCCTACTTTCACCATATAACATCATGATCACCATCACTGTATAACTGACCCCTTCACTTGTTTTACCCACTCCTCACTCCCTTCCCCTCTCATCACCTCTTTTCTGTATCTAAGACTTTTCCTTCTGTTTTGTTTGTCCATATTTTCAGAGCCCACATGAGTGAAATCACCCAGTATTTGTGTTTCTCATCTCATGTAATTCACTGAGCTTCATCCCCCTGGGTCCATCTGCTTGTTGAAAACCACCCAATTTATGCCTCCACTCTATCCCCTTACCTGAGTTTTAGTTTTCTTTGTAGCATCCCTGATCTGTATTTTTAAAGATGTATTTAAAGTATATGTACATACATTTGTGTATTATAACTCTTCCACCAATAAGATGGAAACTTCCCAAAGGAGGACTTTGTTTTTTTGTGCGGGATTGGCAGAGAGCAGCACCAGGCACTTGGTTGTCATGTGTTCATCATTTTCTCTTCCACTGACAGTTTTAAGCATTTTTGGCTTCTGCCTTCTAGAAGGGTAGAGGGAAGATGATTTTTCTGCCCCTACAGTACTGTAATAATCCCACCAGGCTTTAGAGCAAAGGTGGTTTTTACTCAGGAAAACACTGTCCTTACTGCGAATGCTAAATAAATGGTGGTGATGACTGCAAGTTACATGGGTTGCTGTGCTGAACCCATCGGTTAAGCTAACACTCAAGCGTCCTCTCTAGAGGGGAAGAGCAGGGCTGGGGAGGGGGTCGTGTAGAGTCTGACGGTGAGTCCTGAGCTGAACTGGTTTTGTCAGTATGACCACACCTGTTTGTGGTCTCCTGTCTCAGCTGCCCACCCCCTCATTTTGACACCAACAAAATCCCTTTTCACCTTTTCAAATGCTTATTTCAAACAAAGACACATATTTTTCTTTGCAAATCAAACTTAAATGGTGAGTTTATTATCCTCTCCTTCCCTGGTTTCACTTAATCAAAGTAATTTCCCACCCAACGTCCTCCCCCTGAGACCCTCACTCACAATCATGAGGCTAACATGTTCTAGGTAATATGACCCAGGTAATCATTTCCAGTCAATAGGAGACAGGGTTGGGGGGGAAAACAATATCTGCAGTGGGAGGAAAGTAAGCAGAGGGGCTTGCTGATCAGCATCAAGTATGTTTTTCCTTATGCCTTACAGATCAGTCTTTTGCCATATACCCGATTCAGAGGATGCGGATGTAAACCTTGCCCACCTCTCTCAGCCTGTCCGTCGTGCTCAGACAGTTACCCAGAAGCTCATCAATGGGGATGCAATCTTCAGTCTCCAGGACAAACCATGCCAGGGCTTCCCCTCGAGGCAGCTGGCTTCTCTCCAACTCCTGCCTGACGCTGTCCAGGACAACCCCTCTGATGTCTGTAGGCCTTCCTGGCACACCAAAGATGATGAACAGGCCCAGACAATCCTCTCCCATCAACTGGCAGAAGCTTTCCATCTTATCAAACCTACATCTCTCCTTGGAAGGCTCCTGTGCCCTGGAGTCTGGATGGCAGAGGTCAGTGGGCTGAGATTCCACTGGTGGAAGCACCGCCAGCTGTAGAGTCTGGACTGCCAGCTGCAGCCTTATTTGCTTATCAGGTCCCCAAAAGGTCCAAACCCAGTCGGCCCCCAACAGCGAAACTTGCTGCTCGCTCATCCTGCTGGTGGTGAGCCATTCCCCAGCTCCCTTGACTTGGCAATAAGTGACAAAGTGGATGAGAAAGATCTCATTCAGTGTGTTGGGAGTTGCGCGGAGATTGCTCTGAGGATCTTGGAATCCCAGGTACTCTGTCAGCTTCTGTGCTGCATGCACCATAGCTCCGCTGACCACTTCACAGACGCTGGCCACCTCCTTGCTGCTCTTAGGAGCCGACAGTTGGGATGTATTTTGCCCCTTAGGAGCCGACAGCTGGGATGTATTTTGCCCCTTAGGAGCTGATAGCTGGGATGTATTTTGCCCCATTTTTCTCTGCGCCTGATCAGAATCGCTCCCAAAGAGCGAACATAGGAGCCTCTGTCAGAACTGCTTCTTTTTTCAAGTTCATGTCATGAAGAAAGTCACCTCTGTCCTGTGGTCATCATCTTGTAATTCAACAGCGTACTTGGTGCCACTGAGCATATATCCACGAGGCTAAACAAACAGTTGGGGCTTGTTTGTCAAGTGGGTGTGCTGGTTCACGCAGGTCCTGGCGGGGCTCTTGAGTTAGTGATAGTGACTTTCACACAAAACAGCTGCTCACTAGTGCTATTCACCCAGTGTTCACTCAGCAATTTCTTCTAAGATATATTTCTGCTCTTCAAATTTTAGTTAAATTAATAGAATTCCTTTCTTTAAAGAAGGGCACTCCTCTTTCTCTGACATTTTCAAATTGGCAGGTCACTCATTCCCGTTCGCTGCGTCTCTGTCCTGGCGGCTGGGTCTCCTCCTCCCCCAGCTCGGCTCCTGTTTCCTCCAGTGTTGATTTACCTGTTGAGCCACGTGATTAGCTCCACCTGAACACATTTATGACAGTTTGTCAAATGCAAAGAGGTTGTGTTGTTCTCCTCTGTATCAGAAATAAATCCTACTTGTTATTCTGAACAAAAAAACTATTAGACAATAAGAAGCGTGAGGCAATTATCAGTTGACTTTATTTCCTTTCATAAGGGAATACCGGCAGTGCATAATATTTTGTAAATATAGCATCAAAAAGACTTTTAACCTTATCACATAGCATTACTTACAATGTCCTGAAGAAAGAGTATTTGGCATCTAGAACAGACTCTGGGTATTTTAACCAGGTTTGAATAACAAATTGTTCCTTGAATGGTGACATAGGTCCACATTAAAATAAAGTACAAATACAGAAAGAGGCCCATACAGTTACTAAATCATGAGTGGAAGGGAGCAAATGATCATTATCCTCCTCATATTATTTTAGTTATGAGTAAATAGTGATTTGCTTCAAGTTCCTTGAAGAGGAGCTTGGTGACTGACTTCTGATCACGTGAAAGAACATACAATTAGCCTTCAAGTTGAGTTTATAACCAAGCCCATGGGCCTATGTCAGCCTACCCAGCTGCCCGTGCCCTCCCCCCTCCCCCCACCAATTTGTGAAAACCTGTCTTTGCCACAGTCGGTCACCATGAGTAATGATGGCAGGTAGCATACAAAATAGAGTATTTGTTATAACACCCTTAAAAAAAAAAAACACAGTGATGGTTTCTGCTCTGGCTTTCTCTTTCTTTAGAAAGAATAGTTGGACCCTGTGTTACAGAAAAACATGAGGTACGTTGTAGTATCACCCCACAGCCATTGTAAAATGATTTCGTAGCCTCAGAGTTTCTGAACCCTGACTGAGATCAAATTTAGCTTTAAAAAAATCCCATCCTGGAGAGCCTGAGAAACGTGTGGTGACTGACGTGCGGCAGGCTGCTCGGAGTCTGATGCAGTGATGTATTGAGCCCAAAGGACAATAAGTGTAATACTGTAAAGGGTTTTATTTTGGTTTCTTGATAATTTTTTTCTACAAATTTGAGGGGCTCTTTTGAATGCATTCAAGTTTACAGTTTTCAAAGGTTCCCCTTGAGTATCTTGCTCTTGAGGTAAAGAATGTGGGCATTCTTAAAAATCTGCTGAACAACTCTATGTAGGGCCATCCAAGAAGGGGTATTTTCTAGATACTAATTTGACCTGGATGAGCAACATTGTTAAAATTTAGCTGTGGAGAAGCAAAGACTATCTCCAGGGCTTCAGGAAGCTGCTGGCAGAAGAAATATCCAATACTATAAAGATTTCTTAAATGTGGCCATTTTACCATCTTCCTTAAGTCACAAAATAAAAGTTGTATTTTTTTCTATGTACTAGATATATACATATATTTAGAAAAATATATAAAAACAGGACAGTAGGAGGCAAGCGGAGGTGAGGCTTGGACAAAGCACACGTGGCAAGGGTGAGCATGCATCCTGCTTGGACACCCATGGGGCTGTGCGCTGATGGGTCAGGGTGCCCCCCACACTGGTCACAGCCCCCAACCCCCGGCCTGTGAAGGTGATTGCAAACACTATGGTAAAATAATCATCTTGAATGCAGCACTTTAAATATAATATATCACAGGTTTTTACATTAAATAGAAAAAGAGCAATTAGATGCTCATTCACCAGTGTCAGCTTTTGTGGCAACTGCAGAAGAGGCATGTGGCCCCCGCCTTCCATCTTCACTTTCAAACAAGCAGAAGTTGGAACAATAAGCAATATACAATCTCTGGCTTGCTGGATATATTCCGTGAGCACAAGAGAAGTAGAGCAGAGAAGGACGCTCCTCTATGCACTGCTGTCAAACATTCGAGTCCTCATCAGTGATGCTGGCACTGGGCGAGCGGGCAGCGAAGTCTTTAAACATGTCATCTTCCTTCAGCATGTGCTGGAAAACAAGGAGAAAGAGGATTCACACACATGTGCACACACAGAACTATGACAGTCGTGCACACACATCACATACACACAGGAGCTCAGAACCACACAAGCTCCTCTGTACGCATAGTCCTTTTGAGCAGTTTTTAACATTACCTTTAGAGTCATATTTTTTTTGGGGGGTGTGGTCTTGGGGATGACTTTTATTTATATTTATATTTTTGTTTTTTTTTAATTTTGTATATTTTTTTACATCATTTTTCATTTTTGTACAATGTATGCATTTTCATCTTGGTTATAGTCATTTTAACTATAGTCAATATTGAAATAATTTAAATAATTTAAAATTTTACACACTTACTGTTAGATTGTTGATGCCTTCGGAGAATGCACCAATCTGTCTCACTGTCCCTTCTGAATCTTCCATCTACAAAAAACACACCATAAGGGCAGCACAGTGAGCCTAAGCAAAAATATCGTAAGGGGACTGATAATAAAATCTCCTCTTACAACTCCAGCTGGATGTTAAAAGCTACAATACTTTCTTGCTACCTCTTCTCTAGTGCTCTGATGTTGACAATGGCACTGAAGGGCTGTTGAGCAGAGGGCACTGCTTGGTCCCATGAGTTTATACTGAGACGGCCAAGGAGTATGAGTGGACCCACTCCTGCCTGCTTGAGTGCCTAGATTTCCTTCACACAAGGATGTACCACACAGGTCAGCAACACAGGCTGAGGAGCCAGCCTAATGGGCTGCAATCCCAGCTGTTCAGTCTAGGGTAAGTTACTTAACCTCTCTGTGCACAGCTTTCAGGGAGGACAACAATAATTCCTGCATTTTAGAGTTACCACAAATGTTAATATGTGTCAAGTGCTAAGCACAGTGCCTGTGGCATAGTAAGAAATCTGTATGTGGCTCTGATTATTTCGTTATCTTTATTTTTAAAGGATTTGCAGCAAATTTCCCTGACTAGTAGACATGTACAACAGTTTCTGTGTAGTGTTCCACTGTCGGAAGAACCTTCAGATAGTTCCATGTGCTGCTGCAATATACCTGCTCTAGACGATCCAAGTCATCTTCGTCGTAGAGGCGCATGTCCAAGCCAGCCTTGAATCCCTTCTTAGATGTGCTCCCTGATGCCTGCCCCAGCTCCATCGGACAAACATATTCCTCGCCATCTTCCTGTTTCTTCTTTCTCAGATTCCCAAAATTGCTAAAGGTAAGTTTCTTTGGCTTTAGGAAAACAAACAAAAACATCCAGGGGTTTGATGAAATGCCTATGACAAAGGAGCAGTAATATGTATAATTAAATGATCCACTCAATCATGGAGTGACACGCAACTGGATGATTAGATCTGTGTAATGAAAACAAAAACATCCTAGCCATGTGAGTGATGTCCCCAGACAGGAGAAATGGTCCTGGTCAGGAGCCTCTGGAGATGAAGCTTGTTCTCCTTGTTCATGCTAACTAGCTGGGAGCTCACTGCAAAAAGCAGAATTGCCAAGAGCAATGACTAACAGGACATAGAGCAATGAGATTTCTCAGGGTTGCATCCAGCTTTGCAAGGCTTTCCAATTCGAGGCCAGAGTGGAAATTGGTACGTACTTTATTCTCTTTTTGGGTGAGGCTGTGATTATCTCATGTGCCTGTTATGCTTCTATAATAGCACAGGTCCATGCTAACAGAATCTCTGCCCTGTAGCAGAGAAAGCTTCCAGGGAAAAGGGGAGGAGAAATTCCAGCTTAGTCACTAGATAATCCCTGAGACCATCTGTTAAGGGGATGGCGATCGGGCTGATGTTGAGAATTTAAACAGAACCAAATCCTCAGAGGTTTCAAATCTGGCACATCTTTTAATCTTCTTTCTACATTAAGTTGGTAGAGATAACAGCTTCAGGAAAATATAATAGAGGAATGATGAAAAAGTGATCTGAATTTGGTAGGACCCATGTAAATAGGAAGTAGCCATTCTTAGCTGGTCTATCTTGAATGGTTTCTTAAATATATTTTCCTAATTTGCAAAGCTAGTCAATTATAAACCAGATGAGTTGAATCTATCCAAACAGAAATGTAACTCTTATGCTTGGTTCACCCATAGGTGAACAGGAAATCCTGCTATCAGTACTGGCTGCCCCAGTTGTGTGCTTTCTGCATTAGCAGTCTGTCAGAGAAGCCAACAGCACATTCATTATGGCTAACTCTAATAAACAATCTGCACAAACACTGCTCTAGAAGGAAACTTTCAAAAACGCATCCTTTTAAGTGTTCCCAGAAACACACACACCTTCAACCCATTCACAAAATTTAGTGAAGTCCCAGAAGATGGGATAATCAGGGAACAGTAAACACTGACTCTCTGCTTTGGGCAGCTACTGAGCAGTAGGAGCTTAAGCCAACCTTCACTTTGGCAGTAGCTGTGAGCAGGACATAATCCGGCAGCTCCATGGCATCGCGCTTCTGGTGCTGGGCCTCCACACCGATCAGAAGGTTAAAATGAGTGGCCAAGTGTCTTCGCAACAAGGTCTTACTTGGTGGGATATTCAGTAACTGAGCCATGGTTTCAACATTAAACCTAGGTTCCAGAACCTGTAAGAAAGGTTAACCTGTTACAAGGTACTAGATATTGTACAAGTCTATGCCATTCTTTCTAAATTCAAAGCTTGTTCTTTAAGGCTATGTCCAACCCCTCTCCCAACAGTCCGGTGGGACACAAAGTATGGACTGTGGTCTTAAGAGACTCGGCCCCAGATTGTGAGGACTAGAGCAGGTCCTGATGCCTGGGCACTACAAAGTCAGGAGTTCGACCTCTCTGACAGGGCCCTTTGGGAAGCCTCTGGAAGCAACTCCTCATGCTACTTCTGTACACAGAACAGAAGAGTATCCTTGCAGGGCTTTAAAAATATGGTCTCAGTAGGCAAAAAAAAAAAAAAAAAAAAAAAGGGAAAGAGTTTGAATCGAATCCAGAGTTATATAACATAAATAAAACATATGGGAAGAAATACTCTGAAAGCAAAGATGCTCTCAAAGTAGTGCAGGAGGGTTGGGGGGTTAGACAGCAGGAGGCCTATGAGCAACCTGCTGGTCACACCCTACTAAAGGAGACAGACTGGTAAGAAATAAAGATAGAATCAAAGGTTCCAGGCTTACCATGAGCCCTCCGTGGACGCCGCTGCCTCTGAGGTTGGGGGCATACTCCGCCAGATCCACGGAGCGCAGCCACTCCATCACACGGTGGTTGGTCCACTGTTGAACCTCTGCTGGGGTGACGCTGCTCTGTGGGGACAAAGTACCACCAAGAGCTTCAATCACCAGCTCTGAGGCCCCAAATATCACCGCTGCGTGTTTTGTCTAAAAAGCCTGCCTCACGAGCAGCGCTACCAAAGGGCCCTTCTAGAGAAGGCATCAAGGGTGTTTGCTAAGTGGAACTCTCTTTTAAGGATTAGGTCACAGAATTTCAAACATTTTTCTGCACGAATAAAAGCAGCACTTTAGGAAAAATTCTGTGACTTAGGAAGCGAGGGAAAAAAAAAAACAGCCCCAAGAAAGAGGAAGCATAATTAAAAACAGTCCTTGGCTTCAGGTAGGAAGATAGGAGCCTCACAGGGTGTGATGCGGGGAGAGAGATGCAGGGTGGTAAAATCTAAGAAGTAAACAAGGTGGGCCTGGGGTTCAGCGCCTCAGGGAGCCAGATGCCTTTGCCACCAGCTCTAGGAAGAAGTGGGAGTGGGTCATGTATACAAGGACAGACCCATGCGTGGGAAGCACCACAGCCAAGCCACCCCACAGATGCTACCTCGTCCGACGGCCGCCTCCGCAGACAGTTGGGTTCAAAGTTATTGATCCGCAGGACTTGGATGGCCCTTTTGATACTGAGATGATGGAGCACACTCACAACCTTCAAAGACAGTAAGTCATCCTGCAAAAGAACAGCACAGGGCTCACCAAGCTGCCAGGAGTAGAGGCCTTCTCCAGGATACCTTGGAAAGGTGAGCACAAAGAGGAGTCCTCAAGTCCTGCCCATGATTTCAAAGGCTTCTTTAGTAACAGAACCCTTTTCCTTCTTTTTTTTTTTTTTTAAGATTATTTATGTATACAAGAACTGGGGTACAGGCCAGAGGTGTGTGGGGGGAGAGGATTCACTAGAGACAGAGTGGGGAACAGAACAGGAGGAATGACTGAAGTACACTGCTGAGGGGAGCAGTGGGCAAGGCAGGAGAGGTCTGCTGTGCCATGTGGGTAGCTCCCTGGCTGGGGATCAAATTCATACTGCAGTGGCTGTGGACAGCCCCACAGGTTGTGTTTTAAAACCCCTTGCGCCACCAGGGAAGCCCAGAACCCTTTTCCTGTTCCAAACCAAATCATGCCCAGAATTAATGTTCTCCCAGCTATAGGTGACCTCCCCTGTTTCTCTCTTTTGCCAACACTGATAGGGTAGCGGGACCCCAGCACTCTGGGAAGCACAGTGAAGGTCTGTACGAGGTCCCTGCCACCCCTGATCTGCTGTGATCTGATTCAGTCAAGCAGATCAGTCCAGATTTGGCTTTCTAAGCTAAGGCACATCACTGTGTTGGGGGAAATCAGAAGAGCACCTCATTATATTCTCCCCCTAGCTTCTAGAAGTCTCGAGTTCTAAATTATTATGCCATAGCTAGCAGACACTGAACAATTTTGGAAAAAAGGCATAGTGAAAGTGAAGAAGTAAAATGAGTTTAGTTGTAAGTAGTAATAAATGCCACTAATCCATTCCTTTAAGGAGTGCCATCCCTAGTCTGTGGTCACAGAAAACATTTCAAATATTCAAACACAGCAAAACAAATTATTTTAGGAGAAGGTGATTTGTGGGTAATGTCAATATAAGCACCAATCTACTTTCAAACACGCCTAGTAATAAACAAGGAAAACATCCATTTTAGCCACACCTTACTGATAACATGTTTCTTTGGGGGGGGGGGGGAAGGCAAGGAAGAAAAACTTGAATCTACTATATAACTATTTTAAAAATAAAATTAGACAATCGGTTTAAATCTTTACAGCCACTGACTGAGTAAAAAATTGTTTCCTGAGTTCTTTCTGGATTAATTTCTTAAAGGTAGTGTCTTACCATCAGTTAGTTAGGAAAGATATTAACATATTTTAATCTAAGATTGACACATCCAGTCAAACCATTTCCAAAGAGGCTATTTTTATCTACTTATATTGGATCAATTTTTAAAAAAATAACTTTTTTTTTATTAAAAAGTTTATACTTCGAGCAATTTTAAAAATAGGGGCTATTTTTTTAAAGATGTATTTTATTTATTTATACATACAAGAATTTGGGTGTAGGCCAGGGGTGCAGGGGCCAGAGGATTAGCCAGAGACTGAGTGGGGAGCAGATCAGGCAGATCTACTGAAATACACTGTTAAGGGGAGCAACAGGCAAGACAGGAGAGAGGAGAGGTCTGCTGCACCATGTGGGTCAGCAACCTGGCTGGGGATCAAATTCATGGCACAGTGGCTGGCAATAGCTTAATATCACTGAGACTTTAACCCCTGTACCACCAGAGAGGCCCACAGGATCTATTTTCTTTTAAAACAAAACAGACTTTTAAAATTTTTTTCATTTAAAACATTTTATTTTTAAATAGTTTTAGATTTATTAGAGAGTTGCCAGAGATAGTACAGAATTTCATATACCCTTTACCCAGTTTCTGCTAAACTTAACACCTTATACAGCCATGATATATTCATCAAAACTAAAAAGTTAACAGAGACAATAAAATTTAAGTGAACTATGGACTTTATTCAGATTTCAGCAGCTTTTCCACTAAGGTGCTTTTTCTGTTCTAGGAACCAATCCAAGATATCACATTAAAACAGACTTTTGGGGGCTCGGGACTTTCGGGGCCAAGTTTTCTAAGGTACTTTATTCTTTTATAATCATGGAAGTTACACATATACTTTTTATACTTTTAAGTCTGAATTTACTCACATTTCCATGGGAATATACTTATACCTAGAGAAGCAGGCAGAGAGTTACTGAATTAGTTGCAGGCAGGGATCTGGAAAGAAACAGCCTAATTTCAAATGCTCTATGACTTTCTACCACTTTCTAACTATGGAACTTGGTTAAGGTTCTTTATTCCTTCATTTTCTCATGTCAAAAGTGGGGATAATGATAATGTTAACAAGGGTAGCTGGAACTTGAGTATTTATGTGAGTATGTTGGTAGAAAGAGTGCCTAGCATGCAGTATAGGTGCTGCACACATGAGCACTACCTCACTTGAGCAGGCACACATAATGCATCCTCATAAATGTGGACTTGGTTCAATTATAGAGAACAAAACAAATTCCATGAGCTAAACCTCTTATTTCTTTGATTTTGAAAATTTCCAATTTAAGTGAGCTGTTAGAAACTTTCAACTTATCTAAAGAAGAAGATATATGTGGTATTTTGATCCATAACCTAAATCACAAAAGGCCATTTAAGTAAAGGTCTCTTGTAATGCTTGGAATCTACAACAGCTCTTGAGGAATCCACTGGTCCCCATGTCGCAAGGAAGGGAACATCCTTGATCCATTGGGTGGAGGGCTGAAAACAGTGATGAAGGAGCCAGACAGAAGGTGCAACTTTCCCTCCTGCCACAGTGACCTTGCCCTAGCAGAACTGGGTCTTAGGAAACAGCCCTCAAAAGTGGAAGGGAAGGGAGAAGACTAGTCCCCTTCGCATGTCAGACCAGAGGCGAGCCTCCTCTGAATGCTCACCGAACAGGGGAATACCGAGCTTAGCAACTTCTAGGGCTTCAAAGCACTACATTCTCCATTTTAAAAATGTATTTCTGAGATATATAATTAACATATCATAAAATTCACCCACTCATGTACACATCAGTGTCTACACAGTTGAATATATATGAAATCAACTTCCTGTACAGCTTAGTTTATTTATTTATTTTTTAAAAAGATTTATTTATTTATTTATACAAGCACTGGGTACAGTCAGAAGCGTAGGAGAGCGAGAGAATTCACCAGAGCCAGAGCGGGGAACAGAGCAGGCAGAAGGACTGAAGTACACTGCTGAGGGGAGCAGCGGGCAGCAAGAGAGGTCTGAGAGCCATGCGGGATCCTCCTCCCATGGCCGGGGAGCAGCTGGGGATCAAACCGGTGCCGCAGAGGCTGCGGGCAGCTTCGCAACCCAGCGCTCAACCGCTGCGCCACCGGGGAGGCCCTGTACAGCTTAGTTTAAAATAGGTTTCAGAGAGCTTTAAATCAGAGTGCCCAATTTTCAGCAGGCTATTTGCAATCACCAAATTCTGCCACTGCACCTTCAGAGAAAACAGTCCCTCCCCTCTCCTCAGGTTAAAGCAACACTCTCAAACTCTGGTGCAATCAGGGTGAAAACTGTATTTGTTCACTCCATTTGTATGGCCATCAGAAGGAAAAACCTTTACTCCCCCAATCCGAGGAGAAAACCACTTACCACGGTCATGTAATGGAGCATTCGACCATCTACCCGTCCCTCATCAAACTGGGTCTTGTACTGGGGGAGACCAATATCATCCAACCATCCTAAGGAGAGAAATAGGGTCATAACCAGGTCACAGAACACCAGTTCTTATGATTAATATATATATATATATGTATATATACACACACGTATACACACATACGCAGGCATATATACATACTTCACGCACACACATTAGGTTGTCGGAAAAGAAAAGTCATGATGTGTTTTTGCATAGAAAAGAGGAAAAATGTATCATGATTTTCCGACCATCCAATAGTTCCTTCTATTCATTCATGACTCTAAAACCTCTTACTAGTAACCCAGTTGAAATCCAGTTTTCCATGATTAGTTTCTTCTTCAGATCCCAGGGCTTGGAGAGCAAGCTGGAGTTTCTTTCGATGAAGTGAATGCTTGATTCCAAGTTCCTGAAATAAACAGAAATACTGACTTTAAATTTCTGTCACTATGAGCTAGATGCCACTAGTAAGGATACAGAGCCCTCCAAAATGAACAAACAATTACATTCACTCATTTCGCTCAAGTAGTAAAAGTAGTAAAAAGTAAAGTACATAAGTAACAGGGAACACATGTTAAATGATTGCATATAAAATGTAGGGCTCTCTTTATTCTTTCTGCAAAGTGAAACTGAATTGTCTATATTACATTGGGAAGATGAGCCAGGGATAAAGGCACAAAATGATTTTGACAAATAAGAGGCTGAAGACTTACTGTTATGGCTATCCGATCATTTTTCATTAAAAAGGCCAGTGGCTTCCCAGCCATACCCATGGGTGTCACCAGCCAGAGCTAGTAGAAGGGAGCCACCTGTTATGATGCCTAACTCCCCCCACCCTAGAGCAACAGTTTGTTACATTTCAGCCCCATCAGCATGGTGGATGGGTACCCACTCACCACCCAGGACCCCAAAGTACCACAGCCAAGTGGGGAGACCTCCTGGGCCACATGAAAACATCCTAAAGTTCACGCCCCTTTTTCTTTAAGTTTTTGAAATGCAACATTGTTTTTTTTAAAGATTTATTTATTTAGGTGTAGAAGAACTGGGGTGTAGGCCAGAGGTGCAGGGGGTGAGAAGATTCACCAGAGACAGAATGGGAAGCAGAACAGGCAGATCTAGTGAAATACCATTGCTAAAGGGAGTAGCGGGTAAGACAGGAGAGGTCTGCTGCACCATGTGGGTGCCATGTGGATTAGCTAGCTTCCTGGCCAGGTATCAAACTCAGGCCACAACGTGGTAGCGCTGAGACTTAAATCTTAGGCTACCAGGGAGGCCCCCTGAAATGCAACATTTTTATTTAACTTTCTGTTAAGAAAACATAACACTTTGGTTTCCCTTTGTAATGTTTTTTCTCCTGAAACTTCTTTAAGAAAAATGGAGGATGGATGGATGGATGGAATGAACAAAATGCCAGTGGCTGAAGAGTCTCATAAGTAGTCATTAAGATCAGGTTCGGTCTGTTAAGTCCATGGGGATAAAGTAGTGTGAGCAGGAAACCCAAACTTTCAAGAATACTCACTAACATTACCTACTCCACCTTCTGGAGCATAAAACAATCCTACATTCACAGTCTTTCTCTCTCAGCATCCATTTTGCAAACCAAACAGAGAAGCACTCACTTTCTCCAGGTCTTGCTGAGAAGCCTGCAGAAGTGTCTGGCCAGAGGCGATCCAGTGCTTGCCAGAATTCAAGTAGGAACCCAAGCCCTGCTCCACAAGCCAGCTGCACACCTGCTCCTTGGTCCATTTGGCAAATGGCATATCCAGGTCACTGCAGGAAAATGAACATTTGCATGATGAGCAATTCAGAGCCAACCTTGTGGGGTTTGAACCTCTGTAAAACTAATACATGTGGACATTCACTGGTGAGATACATTTGACCACGAAGAGCTGGTTTTTAATCCATACTTGGAGGACTGAAAGGTACCCTAAGGACCACAGTCTTCATTTCAAACCAAATCAGAGAAGACACCCTGTGATTTAATAAAAGCACATTCCATACAGGAAGACTGAGCTGAACCCTCTCCTGAGGTCAGGTCACTGTACTAGTGTAATGCTGTGTGAAGACTGAGGCCCCACATGGACAGCACTCCGTCAGATGGACTGCAGCTCAGGGCTGATTTGAACTGACTTGGGCAGAACCTCGGTTTCTCCCCAGGTGACGGTCAATGAGAAGAGGGCAACATGGCACTGTCACCAAGTGTGGAAAAGTATCATCAGCAGAGGCTGTTTTACTTGGACAGAAGAGAAGTGTTCTTGCTTGACAACATGTGGAGATGAAAAAGGCTATTTATTTTTTGATAGCAGAAGGAGATACTGTCTTGTGTACTAAGAGGACATATGGCAAATGAGACTGCTCAGTATCTCAAGGTCAGAGTTTCTTCCTTGGTGAAGCCTACACCCAGACTTCTGCCTGGGAGGGAGGGACTGGCTGCAAAGGCACACCAGTCCAGTGTGCCATTGAAGGATTTAGTATCAGTGAGCTGTGCTATATGTTTGCCAACCCACCCTTTTACCCAAGGCCCCGCCTGAACTGTGATAAGATGTAGGAAAAGTTCCTAAGAGACTTAACAGAGAAAATATTACATCCTGGTACATTTAAGAATTCTGATGGCTTGTATCAGACTCAGTGAATAAGTGCTTTCCCAGCCTCCACTAACTGTGAATGGTTACTGAACAATAACTATTTGCCAGATACTTAACAGCATGTGCTATGGGTTAATCTCCACCTCACCTTTGGGAGCAGGTGCTGATGATCACTCTGAGAAACAGACACAGAGCCTGGAAGCAGCTGGTCACTGTCACCCAGCTTGTAGGGAGTGGCAAGGGCAGAAATCAGATGCATGCAGTCAAACTGTCCTTCCAGGCCCAGGCTTCAGAGCCTTACGTGAGCTGCTCTAGGTAACATGAAGTCCTTCCAGCTCAGATGCTACTGACACTTCAGCTCTGGCTCCTCACCTCCCTCCCACAGGTCCAGCTGCCCTGCTTAGAGGAGAGGGCCCTTCCACCAGCAGGCCAGTCTGCAACTCCGGGACAATCCTAACCTTGCAGGTGCTGGGGTAGATGCAAAAGTCTGCTCACTTGGTTGTTCTTACCTGTTAGTCTGTCCCAAATCTCGAGACCAGCCTAGTCGGGGCCCTGCCGTGGCCCTTGTCCCTCCTCTCTTGAACTCGGGCTCAGACATGTCCTCTGGGTTGAATGTCGTTGACTGACTTCTTCTGAGTCTGCACAGAGGACACAGCACACACAGTCTCAGGTTAGATCTGTGTGGCCTTGGACAGCACAACTCATCAGACACTTTTAACCAGTGCCTGCATCTGAGCTATGTCCCTGTGAGTATCCTTAAAGTGGACACTTGGATTTAAACTTTCACTGAGCCCCAACAAGCCCATATAACCCAAGTCACAACCTTCCTCTGTCAGAGGACACAGGGCATTGCAATTCCGCTGCCATTTTCAGCCAATTTTCCAATTATTCCTACAGTCAAGCAGCCTCTAAAACAAAAGCCTCTCCATTTGTTCTGCAATCACTTACTTTCCAAAAAGTTTCATGATGCCTCTGGATTTCTTTTTGGAATCTGGAGACGGTGGGGACAGCTGGAAGGGACTACTCCCCTGGGACTCTTTGGGCCGAGAGGATACCCCTGCCAGATCCAGGTGCTCAGCTGTCTCCTTTTCTGTTTCAGCTAGTCCGAAAATAGAATACAAACACATTGGGTTTTAAAATATGGAGGGATCACGACTAGATGTTACACTTCTTGGTTTAGTAACTTTTAAGGATTCTTCCTCTGCTGGCCTATAAATCAGCGATTTACAAAGAACACCTTGCAGAGATTAAAGAGGGATATTCTACCCTCCACTCTGTTGCATTTAAAGTCCAGCTCCTTTGAGATTTGAAGGTGTGACAGGATTACCACATTCTTTCTTCAAATGACCTGAATTCATAACGAAACCATCTCAGTCTTGCTGAACACTTGCTTGTGCAGGCTGTCTATGACCTTCTTTCCCATTTATCACCTCCTTTAGCTTCTGCCAGGATGTGCCCCTAGATTTCCCAGCTGAGAGTTTCTTCTTGGCTGGAGCACTTGTTTCCCTGCCTCCTCCACTCCACTCCAAGGTTCTGTCCTAGGTCCTTCTGCAGGCGCTCTTGGTAAGCTCACCTGTTCTAGGCTTAGCACTAAGCAATGGCTTCGTTTACTTTTATCAGCAGCTGACATCAATATCTCTGGGTGACCTTCCCCCTACACCCCCGCCTTAGTATCTGAATGTTTATATTTCCATGCTGGGGTGCCATGGCCAGCTGGGATTCAACAAAGCCATGCAATTTTCCTGAGCAAGACTTCAAGTTTTCTCATTCAATGATTCATTAATATTAATATTCTAAACTCGCTGACATTTTTCCTTTCATTTCTTTCTCTCCTTTGACAATTATATTCAATCATTTACCAAGTTCTAGAAAGTGTTTGTTTATTCAGGAAATTTATTCCTGTTTATAAGCTTTTATGACTATACACTGAGAAGAGTGAACTGGGTCTGCACAAACTTCTCTTCTGACATAAAATGAGTGTCTGTTGATTTGCTTTAACAGAATGATGTTCAAATTTGCTCCTCTCAGATGTCAAAGCATTAACTCTTTCTTTTAGCTATTTCTTTTTTTTTATACATACCCCCTTTTATTTTTTTTTGCTTATAAAAATTTTGAAAGTGTTTTCAAAAATTTTGAAAGTGTTTTTTTAAAATACATTTCCTATATCATTTTTCATTTTTGCACAATGTATGCATTTTCATCTTGGTTATATTCCCCATACAATTGCACCCCCCCTTATTTTGACCCCAATCTCTCTTTTAGCTGTTTCTTGATGGACCATCCCACACTAGCAAATCAGCACTAGGGTGAGCTAGCACTTTACACCTTTACAGAGGAAAGTACAAGTTTTACAACCCACCACCCCGGGCCCCCCCTCCGGGGCAGTCTTTCAGCAAGATGGGAGAGTTGCGGAGGTTGCCTATTCTATGCAGCAGAGCTTTGACTATAGGAAGCAGCATTTCCTTCTTAGCTTTGACAATTCATTTCTCCTAAGAAAGGTGCAAAAACATCTGAAAATAGTTGTGTGAAGAAATCAGTTTCTTGTATTCATCCAGTGTCCATTCTAGACGTTTAAGTTACACAAAATGAAGCCCTCTTTGCCGTCCACGCGACTAGACAGATAGCTATACAAGGTGAAGGGAACCACTGGGAAACCCCAGAAAAGCCTTCCCTATATTCCTGAAGCTGTGGCTGGTGGCAGTGTGCCTGGAAACGCCTCCTAGGGAATCCTTATTTTTTTTCTACTTTTTTCCTTTTCTCCATCCTCATTTTAAAAGCATCTTAATTTTTTATTTTTTAACATTGAGGACTTTTTTGCTACCATACCTGACCTTTGAAAAAGGAAACCTGAATTTCCCATCTCCTCAAGTCAGTTTGAGGGGCATGCCTCAAATCCCACATAAGGTTATATCTTCTGTCACTATACCTTGCCTCCATCTTCAGAGCAATAAAATGTCAGAAAATGTTCTCCCAAGAGAAATAAATTCTAAAATGACTGTTTTCAATGTCTTCCACAGACCTCTGTGCTTGACTGTAAAAGCACTTCTTTGGGATGCTGAGGGAAATGTAACCCTGGAGAAAGACTGCAAGGCCCTAGCCTGGGAGTCAGTGGTGGGGCGCTGTGGGAAGGGTCAGGTGCCCAGCCCTGCACTGCAAGTGCCCAGGGCCGCTCAGAGCCTGTGCCAGATCAATAGTGTGAGTTAGGGCAGCGTCTAGGCTTGGAAGCACAGGCAGAAGCTGGAAGGTGCTCAGGACTAGGTAACTACATCTTCGGCAGAGCCAGCCTGGTGTCTAGAGCACAGATCCAAGCGCAGGGAGCAGCCTGATGGCGGCGCGGGCAGGCATGCAGGGTACCGTACCTAGGGTGGGCGCACTGGCACTCCGCGCACGGTCTTCAGATATCCCCACAACGCACACAAACACACGCAGCCCAATGGAGAGAACACAGGGGAAGGACAAAATGAAACACAGGTCAAACTGCGACTCTGGAACACACCCAGCAGGAGAGGAGGCAGGCACCGGCCATGCCTCTGAGGGTGACGGACCCCGCTGGATCCAGGTTCAAAACTGCAGGGAGACTGCTCATCTCAAAGGCAGAGAGGCACATTCTGAGGTCCTGTGCTAAGTTTATGCCCCAGAACAGGCTGCAGGTGAGTTTCTACACAGAGCTAGCTTCACACCACTCCATGTAATCCACAGAAGACTTTTTTTTTTTTTTTTTTTTTTTTTTTTGGCAACCTTGCCCCCAAGTCATCATCCTGTATTTCTGAGAAAGAAATGTATAAAGAGATGAACAAGGGAAGGGACAAAAGATGGGCCTTTTCCTCACTCTGGAAGAAACACAGCAAAGGCCTTTGGGCTTTACTTACCCAGGTTAGGTGCACTTGCCGTCCTCTTGTTACTTTTAATTTTAAAAAAGCCACGACCAAAGGAAGATCTGGCTTTTCGGGTGCCAAAGGGGTTGTCATCTGCGGAGACACCATGTCCTGGAACTTTTGGGGGGAGGCTCTCAAAAGGGCTGCTTTCTGCCTGTGCTTTATCCTGAGAGATAAGTAATAATTAGTGAATGTGATATAGTGCTAATAATGCCCATGGTTATAGCTACAGGCCAGGCTCAGTACTAAGTACATGTGTATTTCAAAGAATAACTGAACTAGCAAATTCATTGCAAATAATAGCAAATATTAGAAATGAAAAGTCAACCTCAAAATATACACATCACTAATCTACAATTCATGTATTTAGGGTTCTCCATGTTTAAGATAAAGAAATTCTCAAATTCCATTTTCATTTTATTTGTCTCCTCAAAAGACATGGAGATATTACCTCAGTTAAACAGTAAGTTAATTTTCTAGCAATTATAGAATAGACTTGCTATAATATAGTTCAGTCTTTTTAACTACATTAATAGAAAATCCAATATATGACATCATTCTTCTACCAAGTAGGCATTAGTCCGAGCTTCTGTACCAGCAATGTAAGGAGATCCTACTCCAGATATCTTGAATATTCTTTTCAAAGAACTCCTAATTAACATTAACTGTAAATTAATAATAAAATACAGGCACAATCAGCAATTGCTAAAAATAGTTCTCTTGAAATGGGATTCTGGGATATAGTCCTATGTCATCTGCCAGCTTGCAAACCTGCATCACTGAATTTCAAAGATTGTGATACATTTAGAGACACTCAACATTAGACCAACAGAGCTATCATTCAATTCTGGAGGGTTGACTCAGCAGCCACTTCAGATCTCTATAATATTTCGGGATCTTTATCAAGAATTTCAAAATGAGATATTCTGTGCTTTTAAATACTGCTTATTTTTGAGCTTTCTGAACTGGCAGAATGATGTACTGTTACAGGGTTTTGGTGCTTCCGTTTCATACTACCTTTGCTCTGACACCTCCTGCCCTCTGTTTCTCTTTCAGAGAGGTGCAGACGAGGGCAGAGGAGATACCAGTTCTTATGGTGGTTATTTTATCCTATACATCTACAGTTCATAGTAACAACACCATGTCCCCACTGAGGGGAGCTAAATATGTAGGTCTCAGCAATGATCTGAAATCAAGATCATCTACCCATTTCCTGAATCAGTGAGAGGAGAACAAAGGGGGGCCTTAATAGTAGCTGTCAACACCACCTGGGCTTTGTCAGTCATCCTATGTCAACTTAAGGAAGCAGAAGCCAACAGTCGCTGAGGCCACACATGGTCCAAGCTCGTCTCCCAGACTGTAACCTCTATAATGTTCATGGTCAAAAGTCAGAGGAAAGATGAGCAAGCCCAAGCCCCTGCTGGTAAGGCTCTCAAAAATACCAAAATGTTGGCTGCAGGTGGGCAGGGGTTGCATAAAATAAACTGCTGGTGATGGAAGAGGGCTCTCTGTGAAGCCCAAGGGAGCCCATTTGGGTCAGTGAGAACATCAAATGGCATAACTGAGAGCATGGCGTTTTGCTTTAGTTTTCCAATAACTTATTGAGGAGAAATTTACTTAACACTAAAGTAACTATACTAAAGTGAACAATCCAGAACAGCTTTGTACAACATTGTGCTGCTACCCTTCCAGCTAGTCCCAGGACATTCCCATCACTCTCAATTGAAACCGTGTACCCAGTGAGCAGCGTCCTATACTGCCACGCCTCCAACCTCTGGCCACCATCGACCTATGTTCTGTCTACATGGATTTGTCATATACGTAGATATTCTGGATATTTCATATACATGGAACCACAGAATAGTTGCTTTTGTGTCTGGTTTCATTCATTTAGCATGTTTTGGAGGCAGTGGGTTTTCTTTGGTTTACTGGAGACTTTAAATAATCGTGTCTTAGAAATCTCAAACATTTTAAATTATAATCTGGACATAGAAATTACCTCTAAGGGCCTCCCTAGTGGTGCAAGGGGTTAAGTCTCAGCACTATGAAGCTATTCGCAGCCACTTCAGCATGAATTTGATCTCCGGCCAGGGAGCTAACCCACATGGCACAGCAGACCTCTCCTGTCTCGCCTAATGCTCCCCTCAGCAGTGTATTTCAGTCAATCTGCCTGTTCTGGTCCCCACTATCTCTGGTGAATCCTCTCCCTCCCTACCTCCCACCTCTGACCTACACCCCAGGTCTTATATATATAAATAAAATCTTTGAAAAAAATTTACCTCTGGAGGCTTCTGAATAGACTCCTTTTCCTGTTCAAAACAACATTTAAGGTTGTTATAGGAATCCTATTCAGAAATTGTTGTACAATTCCACAAATTAAATGTACATCTAATTCTAAGACATGGAACCTCATGTTGTTTATTCCCTGCCATGCTTTATTAAAAGTCTCCATTTTTTGTTTTACATACTACCTTCAGTACTTTATGTTCATACTTGTTAGTATTTGGTGTTAACCCTGATATATAATAATTTTCCATTAGAGAAACCAGCAACTCTTCTTAAGAGTTTTATTTGCAAAATGGGAACAGATGAAGAGCCCCAAATATTTTCTCTTCGGGGTAACAGACAGAGGAAACACAGAACTCACCCCATCTGATGATTCCTTCTTCAGATTGCTCAGGCTGCTAGACTTCTGTAGACTTGAAGTTCTAAAAATAACAACAGTCATAATTAGGATTAATAATAAGTAGCTGTGGGGCCACTGTTTCTAAGTAGACTATCTAGAAAAGGAACTAAAAGTATGTGTGGGTTGAATTCTGGTACTAAAGGAAAATCTGGAGGCAGGCTGTCACTTATGCGCTTAACAAAATTATAACACTGAGTTCTTTTAAAAGCAGGGGTGGTCAGGTATCCTGCCAAGAATGCTAAATGGCCTGCACATGTTAAAGTAGCTGGAAAAACACTTAGGACCAGGCTTTGGATGTTGAGATTTGAAAAAAAGATCAGTGTTTTCCATGGACTTGGAGTGGATACTTCACATAGGCACACATACCAGGAACTTGGAAATGCTCATGTCTTGTTTATAAATAAGCATTCTAGTTAAAATAAAGAATGGGATTTTTCCTTTTCAATTTGCAAAGGACCCAATTTTTTCATCTGGCCAAGCACATCACCATACAGCCCTGACCAAAGCACAGTCGAGGGACCCCACTTGCTGCCTGTGACAGCCCGCGTGTAACCCAGCCCAGAGAAAGTGACTCCGGAACCACTGGCACTTTCTCATCACATAATCAGCATTTTATCACATGGAGCTGGTGTGACTCAAAATCAAAGGAAGGAATAGGTGACCAGTAAAAAATGAGAGGGAGGAAAGTAACATCTCTGCTCTCTGAACTAGAATAATATAAATGTACAAGCAAACTTTTCAAAGGCATTTCTCAGGGATTTATGCGTAAATAGCTAGAGCTGTGGCATAGCAAATAAAGTAAAAGATAACAGTCAGAAAAGATCCCACCTTTCATTACTGCTTCAAAAATAGATTTCCCTAATTGGATCCAGACTTTAACTTAGATAAAAATTGATGTGAAGTCAATTTATTAAATCCAAAATGCAAAAAAAATCACTACATCGCTCTCTAAGATTTTTTTTTCTTGCTAGATTCAAAATATGTATCAGTAGAAAAAAAGACATTAGAAGTGCTGAATTCACATGCAGATGGATGAAGAAAAGCTAAGGACCTGCAGAAGCTTGGTGTGAATAATGTGAAATGAGCAAGGATTTTTTGAACTTACACACTACCCTGCCTCCACCCCACCCAATCTCTACAACTGCATTTACTTATTCAGGGCCCAGTCATTTACTTTCTACAAGGTCATGATTAGTGTAACAGGAGCTTCCTCTCTCCCCTGAATATCAACCACATTTTTCTTTTTTTTTTTAATTTTTTTTTTTAATATATATATTTTATTTATACAAACACTGGATACAGTCAGAAGCGCAGGAGGGTGAGAGAATTCACCAGAGCCAGAGCGGGGAACAAAACAGGCAGACGGATGAAATACACTGCTGAGGGGGGCAGCAGGTGCAGCAGGAGAGGTCTGCGTGCCATGTGGGACCCTTGCTGGCAGCAGGGAATTGAACTGGCACTGCAGAGGCTGCGGGCAGCTTCGCAGCCCAGTGCTCAACCGCTGTGTCACCAGGGGAGGCCCTCAACCACATTTTTCACATTCAATACAACACAACTTACGAAAGACTATCGTTCCGCTGGCTTTCGACAGCTGCACCAAGGACTGTCTTTCCATCACTAAAACATGAAAAAAAAAAATTATATATGCACTTCATCAATAAAAGACCATATGGTTATATCCTAAACAAACTGTTGAAACAAAAACAAAGCAAAATTCTGTGCAGAAATAAAAAATTGTGCAAGGGAAGATAGTTTTGCTTTTTGTGTGTGTGACAGTCTATTCTATTGTATTTCAGTCTAATTTTAAGATTAGGGAATTTATTTGGAAACATGCTCTCCCAACTTCTCTTTGCCAATGGAGAAATTACAATACCACTCTTCTGCCTCCTTCAGAGCCATCTCCTAAACAGCATCAGCCACAAGACTCTGGCTATTCTGCCTGCAACCTCCTCCCTCATGTCCTGCTCCTCCCCTGCTTCACACCTTGTATTTCAATAATACAGAACAAGGTCCCTCACACATGCCTTCATGTCTGCTGCTCCTCTGGGTCAGAATTATGTATGTAAACAAATGCAAGGCATCCTTGCTTTTTAGGTTGATCTACATCATTGAACTACATTGCAACATGAGGTCACAAATTACATACTTCTCATCCGGTGAAGTATCCGGTTTAGGAGGCAATTGTGTTTTTTCAGGAGTTTGTAAACCTTTTGCTGCCGGCAGTGGCGAAGAGATAGAAACTTGCAATATGCTGCTGTGGAACTGTAAAAGAAGAATAAAAAGTCAGAAATTCACACACCAAATGACGATGAAGTGAATATGATTCCACATACCTGTGTCTAGAACTCTATTCTTATATTTATAAAAATGATCCCAGGATACAAACATCTAGAAGGGTTCATCAGAGTAAACATTCCGGAGAAAAGTAATTTTAAAATCTGGATCTGAATAAGACACTGCATATTGGGATGGAGACATAAATCATGAACTTACCTTCCAGTTAGTAGTGAGTCCTACCAATGTTAAGCCCTGTTGAAATGTCAACTCTGGGCATCAGTTCTCTCCTTTGCAAAACGAGGATGGCAATGCCTCCCCGACAGAGTGACAAGGATTTAAGATGAGATGTGGGTACCACGTCTCATAAACAAAGCACTATTTTACTTTGATTTCTACCACAAGGCTAGTAAAGAACAGTGGTGGGGCTAGTTTATTTTTCTCTAGGTGGAAAAGTTACCTACCTTACTGAACCATATGATGAAAAGTGTGATCAAAAAGAACGGTGATGTACTCTGTGGCCACCATTTGAAACACTTGTGCCAATAATAATACACTATTAAAACATCATTATTGATGACAGAAGATAGAATATGATTTCCCCAAACCAATGCCTTGTGCATTCTAAGAATGAACCCTGTGAAATTTTATCCTCTGGTTTTAAGGATTTTTGACAACCACAGAGTACTTGGATTGCACACTGTAAACTAACACATGGGAACATTAAAAAAAAAAAAAATAACTCCAGTTAAAAAAAAAGACAAAAAACACTTAACACTCACATTACTGAACTCACTTATGCATGTAAACTGGTAAGTGACAGCTGTTCACTTCTGAAAGTCTAAATGCCAACCAAGTACTAATCGTTTTAAATGACCCCCATAGCCACATATGGCTGAGCCCAACCTGCCCCTGCCTCTAAATATCCACTCCGAGCTCCAGCCATCCTGAAATCTTGTATCTGTAGTTCATAGAGCAGTCCTCTGCTCACAAAGGTGACTTCCTCCAATAAGCAAGACATTTAACTTGATTTCTGTTCATTCAAGCTGGTTATATCAGCTTGTTATAAAATAGGAGATTACTTCTGCATCATTTTTTTTTTGGTCTGAATTTTCATAATCATTACTGGGCAGTTGACTTAGCCATCATCCCTGTTTCCTGAAGCTTTTACATCTTGAGTTTCCAATCCTAGTGGGGGAAAGTAGCTAAGCTAACAAACTGACCCATTTTTTTAAATTCAAATTTTATTGACTTGCCAATTGTTTACTTAATGATATAATCTGGGGAGCACTACCTCATACCCCCACATGTGCCCTTGCTTCACTCACCCTCCACTGAATCTCCAGTGTTAATCCCCTACCTCTCTCTTCCTCCCTTCTGGAACCAGTATATTTTTCACAGAGGTTAAGAAGAATTTATATTGTACTCTGCCAGTTTATTTTCGTTGGTTATTTATATTCCACAAATGGTGAAACCATCCAGTAACTGTATTTCACTTTCTGAATTATTTCACTTAGCAGAATCACTTCAAGATGCATTTGTTTTGCCCCAAAATGCACTATTTCATCTCATTAACAGTTGAGTAGTATTCCACTGAGTACAGATTCTGTGACATCTTTATGTATCACTTGTCAGTGGGCCCTGAGGTCAATTCCATGCCTTGGCTATTATTAATAATGCTGTTAGGAATATAGGTGGGCTCAAGTCTTTTCATCAACAAGTCTTTGGGTAAATACCCAGCAGGGGTATTGCTGCATGGGAAGGTTATTTCCATTTTTAGTTCTTCAAGGAATCACCACACCATTTCCCATAGGGGCTGCACTAGTCTACGTTCCCAGTAACAGTGTACAAGGTTCCTCTTTCTCCACATCCTCCCCAATACTTGTTGTTTCTGGTCTTTCTGACGTGGACCATTCTCACGCGTGGTCTATTGCATTGTGTTTTTGATCTGTGTTTCCCTATTAAGTAACACTGATCATTTTTTCATATGCCTACTGGCCATCAATGTCTTCTTTGGAGAAATGTCTATTTAGCTCTTCTTCCCATTTTTTTTATTGTAACCCATTTTCTTAGTTTCCTTTCAAACTTTTGGGCCTGCAAACTCAAAGTTCCCTCCTGGCTTTTCGTTTGAAATGTTGCTGAACACCCTCAGTCTTCATCAAATCATTCTTTTTCCAAAAGAAAGACCTGTCATTCAACTACTTTTGACACAGCAAAGACTTTTTGTAAGGATGTGACATTACCTGGGTGTAGTGTACACATAACGGCAGCCTCTCTATGTCACACTCATTGACTGTGACAAGTAATTTTTTTCCCCTCTAGTATAAAGAGATACTTAACCATGAGGGTTTTTTTTTTTACTCTAAAATACTCTGTATTTCTTAAGTAATTCCTTATTCAGGTTGCATATAAGCCCTCTCTTACATTTAAGGGAGAAATGTGAATTGCTTTCTCCCTGAATTCATCTCCATTCAATGCAAGTTCCATACAGATAAGTAGCAAGAGGTATGATAAGATGCCATGTGGTCCTTCTCTCATTGCCTATGAAAAAATGCTAGAGGAGGGACAAGTGATCAAGGGGCTCTTAAATGTCAGAGAACCAAGACTATCCAGTTCAAAAGGGAAACTGTTCCCTAAAGCTAGTGACTCCAGGTGGCACACTGTCTTCAAATTAAGAGACTGTTCCAGGGCAAAGACCCAGCACAGTGGCTTTCAGGAAAACAGACCCAAGATGGAGCCCCAGTGTAATCTTGGTCAAGACCCCAGGACTACTGAAGGTACTGCCACCTTACTGAGTCCTTCGAAAGCAACAAAAACTCCATGAGTAAAGGGATACCCCAGAGAGGCCTCAAAGGGAGCCAAGGGTAGAAACAGGCTAATTGTGAAGATGTCTGTGGACATGTTTTCACTGAATGCAGGACATTATAAATGGATTCATAAGAAATTCCAAACATTTAAAATTATTCCACTAAGTGAGTCTGAAAAGGACTCACCTAGTAGAAAATGGAAAGAAGCCTCTGGACCCACACAGACATTTTACAGAAGACTTGTCTGCAAATGCAGAACTCTCCTTGCAGAAAAGGCAGGCTGGCTAGGAAGGAAGAGCCCGAGCACAGGGGACAGGCCCAAATTAAGGAAGTAGCAACACACATCTGGATGGATTTTAGACTGGCTGTGGACAAGGGACACCACACATGTTTTCAATTTCCCTCTTTAGTGGGAGTATCTGGAGCAGATACACCATCCCTATTCCACTGTGGGTTGGGGGCTGGGGGGCGGGGAACAGAGAGCTCATCCTTAAATTCCCAGGTGTTTGAAGCTACACCCAAGGAAATGTGTCTGAGGGGCTTCACTGATACCCAGGGCTGATCTGGATCCTGGGGTGCTAATGCCTAACTAGGCAAGGGGTCTACAGAGAGGGCAGGCGGTGGGCATTCTGCATGGAAAAAGGATGTAAAGTGTTACAGCCAAAGTGTGGAAGAGCAGATCACTATGGTTGCACTAGTAACCTCATCATACCTGTTATTCTTGCAATGTGATAGCATCAGTGTTCATCAAAGGGGAGTGTGGGGGGAGCAGGGTGTGTGTGGGGAGCCCTAAATGTGGAGGTCAAAGATTTCCAATATGATGAGAACTTGAAGACCTATTTCTATCCCAAGGAAGATTTGAGAACAGGCAAGATATGGCAACATATCCTGGCTGCTGTCTCATTACAACAGTGATCTAAGACGAGCGTCAGTTTATGTGTAGGGAGACTCCCAGCCCCGCCCACCAACAAAGAATGTAGGAGAGGACCATAGGAATTCAAATTCTGAACAAGTGTGAATGAGTGCAGCTGGGAACCTCAGAGACCAAGTCACTGACTTCTTCATGGGGCAACCATTTGGCTTGCGGTTCCCTTACAGCATGGATTCTTTCCAGAGGCCGCTGGGTTCATCTTGGATTAAAGAAGTGATTCCACAGGAGGAGTAATAGGGGGAGGTAGGGTCCCTGTTTCTTTTCCTTGAATCTGGGTGGTCCCGTGACTATGAATCTTCTAAGACATGTCAAAAAGTGATACCAACTGGTCAGTTCCTCCTCTGGGGATGTTCACCCTTATGCACCAGGAGGAAGTTTGTAGGGCCATCCCCTGCAAGTCTGCCAGAGTCTCAGTAGACATCCCAGCAAACGGCCAGCCTCCAACCATGCATCTTGAGAAAACTCAAGCCCCAGTCTGAGGCGAAAGTAAAATGAATGAGGTTAAGACTATTTATTCCCCACCAGTTGCTTTTTCCAAGTCTAGCAACATAAGAGGAGATTTTTTTTTATATTACCTTTTTTCCCCCTCTAATTTGCAAGCAGTCATTGTTTACTAACTTAACCAGATTACAAAAATAATCATGGCAGACACCTGAGCTCACCCTTCCATGAAGCCTGCTGGTCAGGTCATGCTTGTCACCAGCATCTCTATCTTCTACAAAATGGGTAGTCTTTTTCTTTTTTCCACCTTGCAGAAAGGTCATTTGAAAGGTCATGGGGAGCTGCCTCCTTCTTTTTTTTTTTGGGGGGTTTTATTTTATTTATTTTTTTTTTTTAGAGGCATGTTTTATTTATTTGTTTTTGTTTGTTTGTTTATACATGCACTGGGTACAGTCAGAAGCGCGGGAGGGTGAGAGAATTCACCAGAGCAGAGCTGGGAGTAGAGCAGACAGAAGGAACGAAGTACACTGCTGAGGGGAGCAGCGGGCGGCAGGAGAGGTCTGCGCGCCATGTGGGACCCTCCTTCGGTGGCCGGGGAGCAGCTGGGGATCGAACCGGCGCCGCAGAGGCCGCGGGCAGCTTCGCAACCCAGCGCTCAACCGCTGCGCCACCGGGGAGGCCCAGCTGTCTCCTTCTTGAAGCTTTTCCAGTGCTACAGATCTTGCGAGTCAGATACTCCAGGTGGATACCACATTTGCCAAGATATGAGGCAGTCACCGTGGTGTCCGTCACAGCTGTCCCTTTCTTACTGGCTTTGCCAGAACCATACTTGTAGATCAATTCATTGACTGACTTCAGGTTTGGGAGCACCCAGGCAATGTACAGTCCACAACCCTCAGCTTGCTAAATGAAGCTTATGGTTCCTCACAGTCACCAGCAGAAGTAATTCAAATCAACTTATATAATATCACTGCACCCTTACTTTATTTATATCTGACTTTTTCTTTCACAAGTGGACTGTAATTTCAATGTCAAGTCACTAAGACATCTATCTCTCCAAGGAATTCATACGCATTGCCTGGATTATATAAGCAATTCTGACATTGCCCAAGGCATTTATTTATTAAAGAGAGGATGGAAAACATACCTTTCAAATAAAGACCTAGAGAACACAAAACGGCCAGGACAAACCAAGACAGTAACCAAGCCAGGCAAAAACCTCATGGCTCTCACATTCTCAAAAGACCTTCTATTTTCTAGACAGTCTCTTCAATAGGAAGAAAATACTAGACATATATATACCTCTTCTGAAACACTTGTGTTAAATGGGTCGCGGCTGGGAGATCCCATCACGGGGGTGGAGGACAGACTTTTCTCCAGATCACTAAAACCCTGCACATCCAGCAAAGTGGAGAAGGAGCTGGAAGAGAGGAGATCTTCGTAGTTTCCATCTTGGCCTAGGTAAAGACACAGCAGGAGAGGACAAAAGCAGTTTTTCCTTGGAACCTCACTTTTGGAAGAAGCTAAGAAGCCCAATGACATTGAAGGTTCCATTTTTTGTGATCATCAAAAATCAGAGTCAATTTTTCCTGGCACCAGCTAAAGAAAATGTAATGAATGAGAGATAACCAGTGTTGTGTGAGGATTAACTATTTGTTAATAGTTATACTTAGTAGTGAGAAACCACAGTTTATATTACTCTTCATTGAAACACGACAATTTTCTAAGATTTATGAAAATATATGCTACTCCACATAGTTAACCACAACTCCTTTTAGTTACAAAAAAATACATGAAAATGTCCAAGGTGATCAGGCCAATGCAATTATTCCTTACTCCTTTTCTCTATTTTCCAAATGTTTTACAACATAATCTAGTTACAGGAAATGACAAGTTTTTCCTCCCTATAGAGGAGCTTGTCACAACTCTCCTATGAGCTCTCTGGGCCGAAATAAAAGCCCATCTCCCCACCTTGTATGCCTGGGTCTCCTGTATCACCCCATTTTATCTCACCAGTGGATATCTTTTTCCTTCTTAGACTCACCAAGTTCTTCTTACCCCTAGGCTCTTGTGCATGCATTTGCTCACTTTGAAATGGTATTGAATCAACTCCTTCAAGAGACCCTCTTTAACCAACCAATCTGCAGAGTACTCGTCTACCCACTTTCAGGGAGAGAACAGATGTCCAAAAATACTGCCGCACGAATGAGTTAGCTAACTGGGGTAATGCACATGCTCGTGTTGTGAAAGAAACTGAGGCCAAATGTAAAAGTTCATAGTCACTTAAAACCAAGTAATACAGAAAAACTTTTAGAGCTACGCTACCTTTTTTACCTTGGGCCAGCACCCCTGTATCTTGCATTTTCTTGTACCTGTTCAGGCACTGTCGAAGATCTTCTATTTTCCGATCCTATTAACAAATAAATGATTATCTTTAATACTGTGATTTTAAAATAGTCAACATTAATTGTGACACAAAGAATAAGTAGACGTGGATTATTTACATTATTCAAAGCATACGTCTAAACTTTAGTAAAACTGGTAATATCTAGAATAGTTTTCCTACGTACATCAGAGATATAGAAAAAGTACCTCTAAATTTAGAGATCCTATCCTTCAGCTGCCATCTTTAAAAAACAAAAACAAAACAAGGTAATAAGATACAAAACAAAAAGCACCAAAAAAGTCAACTTTGATTACTCTCCTCTCTGGCTTATATGTCTTCTTGAAAGAAAGATCAGCTCCTGCTGTCTTTATCAGCCGTCATTAACCACATCTGGAGTTTCCCTTCTTAAACCCTCCATAAAAGTTGCCTCAGTCAGTCATGGGGACTTTTTTCTTTCTTTCTTTCTTTTTTTTTAAGTAAAAGCAACGGACATTTTCCATCCTTTTTCTAATTTGACCTCTAGATGGCAACCTGGCTTACCCCACTCTTTGCTTCTTCCACTTTTCTCTCCACTCTTTAATTTCGTTTTGATTTCTTAATCCCCTGGCCAGACAGATATCTCATTTTAGTCACTTCCCACTATCTATCCAACCCTGACTATAAAGTTTTTGCCCTTGAATCTCTTCCTTGCCAGATACTCACTGGGGTAAGTCACAAAAATGGCCTCCTGAGCTACTCCCACATTGACTCTGTCCTTGGTCATGTGACTTGCCTGGCCTATGGGACATCGCCAAATATGGCTTAAGCAGGAGGTACCTGCCCATTGGGAATTGCCCTCTCCTGTGGTCCTAGGGAACCCTGAGGCTCTCTGAAGATACAGGAGAAGATATCGTATAGAGACGCCATCCCAGCTGGGGCCATACAGCATAGCGCAGATCAGCTGTGTGCTGATCACCATACAAATGAGTCACAACCTCCTGAACCATCCAGTTCCATCCCAGCTGCCAGCAAACTCAGAGATCAGTTAAGCCCGCCCACAGGAAGAGGAGAAATAATAAACGTGATTCGTCATGGAGACAAAGACAACTGACATATGAATTATAGTTTAGCTCCCACCAACTGACGATTATCTGTTTCTACAAAAGTGGATGGGGATCACTCCTTGCCAATCTTTAATTCTACAGTAATCCAAAAAGTGACATTCATTTTCCAATTTTCTATGAGAAATCTCCATCTATATGTCCCATGAACACAACAAGGAGACTACATCTCAAACTGAGCTCATTATTTGTCCCTAATACTTGAGCCTCTACTTGAATTCCCTGGAGAATCCCACCATCATTCACCCAGTTGCCCAAATCAGAAACTAACTTTCAAATTCAACAATTTAAACATCTTGTCAACCTGTAAATTTCTCTAAAATCTCTTCCCTTCTTACCCCTTCACAGCATTGCCTTATTTCAGCCCTTCATTTCTCACCTGGACTATTTTTTTTTTTTTAAGATTTATTTATTTATTTGTTTGTTTATACATACAAGCACTGGGTACAGTCAGAAGCACGGGAGGATGAGAGAATTTACCAGAGCCAGAGCGGAGAGCAGAGCAGGCAGAAGGACAGAAGTACACTGCTGAGGGGAGCAGCGGGCGGCAGGAGAGGTCTGCGCGCCATGCGGGACCCTCCTCCAGTGGCCGGGGAGCAGCCGGGGTTCGAACCGGCGCTGCAGAGGCTGCGGGCAGCTTCGCAACCCAGAGCTCAACTGCTGCGCCACCACTCACCTGGACTATTTTAACAGCCTATTTACTGTTCTGTTCTGTTCTGTTCTCTCTCCCTTATGTGCACCTCAAAGCTACCAGAGTTCACTATATAAAGTGGCAACTCCATTACATCACTGCCCAAGCTCTGCAAGGTAAGGTCCCCAATCATTAACTTGGCCTGAAGGCCAAACTGCGCACCATCTCACTATAGCCCAATACAGCCCCTCTACCTCGTGCTCCAGAACTTTCCTAGCACTGGTCTGTTTCAAGCCTTGGTTCTGACATGTTTCAGCTTATTGAGTCTTTGTCCTTCGGAAACTTCCATTTCCTGATGAACTACTCTTGCTTTTCCTCAGAATTTGCTCAAATATGTCCTCTTTGAAGCTTCCTGGAAGCACTGGTAGTTCTAGCACTCTGGGGGCTCCCAGAGAAGTCTGGGCACCTAGCTAGCCCTCCTTTCACAGTTTTATTTGTTGTTGTTGTTTTTGAGGGAGAGAAATTAAAACCAAATGGATTTCAATCTTTTTTTGAGGGGGGAGAGGAAGCCCACTAAGGGCCCCTCATTTTATCTGACAACTGGAAAGACTGACGAAAATAAACCCATGTGTGGCTTGGTAGGTCAGACAGTGAATTTATATCTATGGAGTAAAGAACAAATGAAGAGGATGAGAGGCAAAGCTAGATACAGAGGTAAGAAAAACAGAGCAACAGGCGAGGATCATGAAAACATAGGGTGGGGAAAAATGGTCAAGCTGGAGTTCTGTGACACTGGCTGGTATTCACTTCCTTACAGTTAGCTTTTCTTGGGGAAACACCTCTGTGTTCTATTTATTCGGGGCACACAGGGAGAGCAGATCTGAAGAGAGGAGCTGAAGCAGCAGAGGCTACCCGCAGTGTGCACGGCTGCATATAGGAGCATGTCCAGAGCGGCCCCGCTCTCAGCTGGCAAAGTAAGGAGAGGCATCTGGGGACAGGCCTCCCACGATGTGGCCTAAGGGTCAAGGGCCATCACGAAGTCTGTGCTGACTCCTGGTACATCACTTTGCAGGAGACCAGAGATAGCCCCTGAGGGGAAGCGGCAGGTACAAAGAATAAACTGCACAGCAACGAGGCACACTTCACACACGGTGGTCCAGATGCCAGGGCCCCAGAAAGGACATGCTAGGACTGTGTTCTTTCTTTCATCTGGATAGAGGACCTGATCTGATGGTATGGACAAGCTCTAGATTCCCAGGTTGGGGAGGGGGTGGTTCCCAGTGAGGCGGGGCTACTGGTCCCCATCCCCACATGTTCGGCCTCCTGCAGCTCCACTACCCCTGTGGGAGGGGACACTCCTGGCAAAGCAGGACAGGACGGGAAAGTGCTTGGAGTGACAACGTGGTGCTACACGCAGCCAAGCAAGCGTCTCACTTCCATCCAGATACCTTTTCTTCATTGGCTGCCATCAAAGACTCCATCGCCTTTTTCATTTTTTGAACTTCAATATCTGAAAATATCACAACATCAAGTCACAGGTTAGTTTCATGAACAAGTGCAACAGTGACCAGCAACTACTGATGCTGGGGTGGAAGTGGCTTAGGTGATGATGTTAATGGCCGATCGTTGTGCTTTCATGTCTCAAAGGCACGCGGACCATTCAGCAGCCAGATTCCCTTTTAGGGAAAACCTGAAAAATGAGTGCCTTTATCTCACAGGCAGAGTCATCATTCCAGAAAGAAGACAAGATGGGAAGGAAAGCATTAACTGCTCTCTCCCAAAGCAACGGCGAAAGTGGCGTGCTGACAAGAAGGTCATTTTAGTGCTGCTGCTAAAAAAGCAGGTAGCTTTCAAACAGCAGCCTCTGGGGTGGCGGGCGAAGACACTGGGGGGATGTGATGATGAAAGCACAGAAAATGATGCCCGGCAACAAGCGGGCGGAGACATGAAGGTTAAGAACCTGATGGAGGTGACGTGTACATGGGAGGTCATGCCGAGAAGTGGGCCGGGGGGGGTCACACAGAAGGACTGGAAGTGCTTTGCTTCATCTATAAGCTTCATTCCAATGTTACAGTCACACAAATTTTAAAACAAAGGGACCAAAGCAAGTTGAATGTGATTTTTCCTTAAAAATCAATATTCAAACAAAAATATGATACTTGATACTTTCTTTTTTTTAAAAAAAAAGATATATTTATTTATACAAGAACCAGGATACAGGCCACATGTGTGGGAGGGTGAGAGGATTCACCGAAGACAGAGAGGAAACAGAACAGGCAAGACTGACTGAAATACACTGCTGAGGGGAGCAGCGGACGAGACAGGAGAGGTCTGCCGCGCCATGTGGGTTTCTCCCCGGCCGGCCAGGATCGAACCCACACTGCAGAGGCTGCAGACAGCTTCACAGCACTGCACTCAACTGCCTGCACCACCAGGGAGGCCCCAAAGCATGATACTTTCACGAAAAGTAAATAACCAGCGTTTTAAAGATGGAAAGGCAACCTAAAATGGTCACAAATTAAAATAATTGAACAGAAAAATGTAGCTCAAGTCACCTGCTTCTGAGAAAAATAAAAACTATGCCAGATATTTCTTTCAAAGAGTGGTGCATCTCTCAGAACTGAGTGAACATTTTCCATTGAGGTACATTCTCTAGGAACCTCCTTTCAGTGTGAAGGGCAAAATCCCTTGACTTAAGAGCCCAGGATGTGGAGGAAAGAGCATGCCAAGGATCCTCTCTATGCTGCAGGAATGATTCGGCCCCTTCTCAGGTCTGCATCAGAGAAAACCTGCAAGCCCTTCTCTCTGCTCTTTCCTCCGGCCTGTTAACCTCTGTGCCATACACTCTGGAGAGATGGGAAGCTTATCGATGAAGCAACTGGACGTCTTTGGTAAGCGAGATGTTTCAAAATGCATGCAGAGAGCAGTTCAGCATTTGTGGTGAATGGAAAGGCTGATGAAAATATGCCAAAAGCCTTACTTTTGTCTTTGAGCTTCTTTTTAAAATTTTCATCTGTGCAGGAAAACCCATCGAATCAGAAGTTAGCAAACATGACAATGATCAAGAATAGCTGAAAAGCACTAAGACTTAGTCTCCTTTCACCCAGAATAAAGGGACTCTCTCAAAACACAGTGTTCCTTGCTGTTTGGTGACCTCGGCTCCAGGTGAGCTAGCAGGAGGCACTCGCACCACCGATCAGAAGACCCAGTTTGAATCACTACCTCTCTCACTTCATCTCTCTCAACAGCAACCTGTTGGCTCCGGGTGCTTCTGAAGCTCAAGGGGGTGAAAACCTACTATGCTTGTTGTACATGCTGGCATTAGAGTGTGACACAGGGCACTCCTGAATGTGATCGCAGTGTGCTCAGGTCACAGTCAACTCACCACTGAGATCCAGCCACACTGACATGGTCTCTGTCCTGCTAAGGGATGGGACCCACTGACCACACCTTAGATCAGGTCCCCCCTGGCATGCCATGACGTTGCCAAATACCTGCCCCCGTCCCTGTGCTTCCTTGGCTCTGCCTGCTAACAAGAGGTCTCAGCCAGCCTCACTCTGCAGGTCAGACTGTGGGGAACTCTATACTAATCTGTTCTCCTGCCCCAAGTCCTATGAATCCATATCAGTCTTAAACTCTGAACGCATGACCTACTTGTGAATGTCCTTTAAGAACACCGAATTCTAATCTATGCCAAAACATAGAGAAAAGCAAAATCCATTTTCTTCCTTATGAATTCCCTTCTTCTTTCTATGAATTGAGTTTTCTGATCCATAGTTTATACAGGAATAGAAAACCCAGTATTCTATAGCCTTTAGAGGCCATCTAATTCAAGCTCCTGGATGCCCAGACAATAATGCTTCCCATGCTCAGGACATAGATAAAAAAGTGCTGGAGTAATTTGCTCTGTCTCCAACAGTGAGAAGTTGCTTTTCTATCTGGTGGGACCACAGCTACCATCTGCAATAGCACAGAAGGGCTGAATTCCACCCATTGTTGTCGGGTGTTTCCTGCATTTATATTTCCAAACACATCTCATTCAGGTGACTTTCTACCAGTGTTATATTACTTAGTTAATAACATTTTGTTATTTCATTTTCAATTTACATCAAATTACACTGTTAAAATGTAATTATATTACCTATTTCCATACACTGAAAATTATTACATTAAAAATGTACATGATTTAAAAATTATAGTTCACATGATATTCAGGACAAACGTCCCCAATTATGAAAAACCTTTTGGATAAAGTCACACACTTTAAAAAAATAAAAGAAGAATTAACTTTTCTAAGAGGCTGAGGACTCAGAGACTGATAAGAAATTTTCACTGATTCTCCAAAATTTGCTGAAACTTTCTCTGGACTTAAAAGGGCAGGAAAGGTTTCTAAATCCTTTACATTGTCTCAAGTTTAGTTCCAAGGGAAGTAATCTCAAGACATGTGAATTATTCCTGTTCATTCTTGCTAACCCTCCCTTGTATGGAAGTTTGGACAAGAACACTCTCACAATCAAAATTTACAATTCAGTCTCCTAAAGTAAATGCCCCTCAACTACAGAAGCGCCCACCTGTAGCTGCTGAGGCGAAGGCAGGGAGTCCCCAGCAAAGCAGTCCCAGGCTGCCCTAGGACTGGGTCTGCATGGGGGGCTGTTCATTTCCTTTGGTGCCAAAACTCCATGTCACTGGCATTAGCGTCCTTTACAGACCTTGGGGGATTTGAACACACTGAGGCAATAGGTGGTAAATAGCTGTTCTTACCTCGATCAGGGATTTCAATGCCTTCTCCCTTCATCCTGGAGGCCAGCTGCTCTTGTAATCTATTCACCTCACATTCCTTCTCTTCCAGTTGCTCCTTCAAGGATGCCAGTTCATCCTACAAATAATACATTCACTTTCAAAGGAAAGGTCATGACTAAGAGAGGATATGCAGAAAGCATGCTTGCTAATTCCTATCAATAGTGAGATTTTGTAAATGACACAAAACAACTACGGGAATTTAGATGCAAACATCAGAAGTTACACTGGGGCAATCAACAGCAGGAAGTCAGGCAACCAATGTCCAACAATAATTACAATAATCCTGGCATAAACATTCCAAGTTTCTTTGTGACCGAATTAAAAATAAATCTTCTAATGTGTAATCAGGACTTAGGGCAGCCCCAAGCCTCAAATGTTACATTAAACGAGAAATCGGACCACATTAATCCAAGAAGATGATCAAATTATGTTTAGTTTCACAAAAGCAAAATGCCATGCAAATTGGAAAATACACATGAAGACTGGTTTGGTATTCATCCAGCATTTCAATGTTTCCCTGCACTGGGAAGAGCTTGATTAGGTCACAGACAACACTAGCCAGATCACGGGACTAAATAATTCTTCCTCACTAAGACAAAAGGCCAGAACTTCCCACAATCATGGAAACAAACAGGTATAGAAAACAGATTTTAAGTCGTCAATTTCTTTTCAATGACATAACTATCAACGTCCCTAAAAGCCTGGTGTCCTAATGTTTTAATTTTCACTTTCATTTTGATAAAGAATTAGCTTATAGCAAATGTATGTTTTGCTGGGTGTACCCAACTAAGAAAAGCAAACTATGCAATGTTAACAATGCATCCCTATTTTCAGGAGTACATTTTATTGCCAGGCTCCAGTGATATTTACTGTGGTGAGTACTATGAGGAGACATAGCTCTCCAATGCAGACAGGATGGCAGCGGCATAGTTTTTACTTAAAGTGGGAGTGGACACCAAAGGCCAGATGCTGTCAGCAGCACTGGTAACAAGAGCTGCCTGCTCTCGTTGTGCTGTGTCTAAGCAGTGATGACTCTTAAAGGGCTGCCATGGACAACTTCAAGAAAAGTCTCAAAGAAAGGAAGCCGTGTCTACACTGGATATAAAACAGAATTCTGTCACAAGTGAATATTCCCAATTATTTTCCCACATGAGGATCTCAGACCACGTAAGAGATGGAAGATTAGCTGATCAACAAATACTTAATTTTATCTGCCTATTATTGTTTCACTAAGGATTTCAGATACTTCTGAAAACAATTTTAGGGAATTACGTGGTCCCTTTAGTCAGCTTTACATGTATTTTGAAAACACAGGTGACACACACATAGAATGAGAGCACATGCCACTGGAAAACACCATCACAGCAAAAGGACACTCGCCAGAAAGCCACAGGCCATGGACCCCTTCCCCACAGGCTACTGCACCTTCAGTGACTCCCACTTCTGTTCCATCCGTTGCTTTTCATACTGCATCTGACCCACCTTGATTTTCATGCTAGAAAGTTTGGCCATTAAGCACTAGTAGAAAGACAGAGGAGTGAAAGCAAAGTACAGAAGGAAAAAAGGCAGCTGCATCGCCCAGAAAACTGTAATTTTATAAAGGAGGTGAGGTCATTTGGAGAAGCAGCAGGTTATTTCCTACCCCCAGGTAAGCCCTGAGTTTTATTCTACATTCAAGAAGGTCTACAGATTGGGGTAAATTTCATCCACTTGCAAGTTTACTACATGGAAACACTCTATTTGTATTATTGGTCACAGATAAGTAGGGGAGCTATTTGTTTAAGAGAATTTTTTGCCACTGAGAAAACTTACTTTGGTTGATTTAAGCTTTTTTTCATACTGAAGTCTTTCACTGTCCAATTCACTGACTTTTAACCTCAAATCATTTATCTCCTGCATTAGCCCCTGTTTAGAAAGAAACAAGGAAATATGTATTAGAGCAGTGCTAACATACCTAACTAAACACAGCTGCTTGCAAATCTTAGGGCGTCCCGTGCCTCGGTTTAAAGTTATAAGAATTGGATCAGACAAAGGCAAATTGTTTCCTTGGGAGCCCATTTAAAACCCTGCTTTAAATTCTCAATGCCTATGCCCTAAAATTAAGGGATTATGAAAATAAAAGGTGACTAAGTTTAATTAAGAAAGAAACTAATCACTTACTATGGTTGATGAGAACTTTCTAGATTAAAAATCACTCCATGAACTCTGTCTTCCAAAATAAACCCAGAAGTTTTCTTTAGTAAAGCCATTTACTTTTAGGACCATTTACATGAAAAATAATTTTATGATTTCTTTCTTTCTGCTCACAAAAGTACAGATTGTTCATCAACTCAATCTAGGAGACTGGAGTGAAATTTAAGTCCTCTAAACCAAGGGTTATCAACTTGAGGGGGTATAAGAATCCTTAGCATCATCATATAAATTTACATTTGGAAGATGAAAAAGTCAATCCTAATGTTCTCATAACACAAATACAACTGGATAGCTTTTTTACAGCTACTTTTTAAAAGAACCCAATTTGCTTAGAAAATCTCTCTAAAAAAAAAAAAAAAAAAAGAAAATCTCTCTAAATATTCCTAGAAACAGTGACCTTTTTTTTTTTTTGGTCCAGAGCTAGAGAGTAAGAAAAGGAAACTAGAATGCGAAACAATACCAACTTCTCCAAAAGAAAGGCTCAAATAATCTATGGAAAGACTTATTTTCTTTTTAAAGTAAAAGCTGTGAAAGGTCTTTCCAACAGTTAAGGTATTTTTGTTCCTCTCCTGTATAAGACATTTATTCCTGGGCCACAAATTCATAGATGAAAGAACAGGATTATATAAGAATGCCATTAAAAAAATAATTAGAACAAAAGCTATCAGAACTAATCTTCAATAGAGTTTTGTTAAGTAAGGATCCTTCTAAACCCTAAGGTCAAAGACTGAAAGGCTACAAAGATGCTACAGGACAACACAATTTCCAGAAAACGCACAGGCTTCTAAATTGTGGCCTCTTATAAAATGAAAAATACCATTAGGCAAATATTATTGCAGTAATTATTCATTAATATTTATACAATGTTTCAACAAGAACAGTCTCTTCTGTTATAAATGAAGTCACAAACTGACATAATTTAATAACCCTTTGAATGCTAATTAAAGGGAAAAGTCCCTTTCTCCCATTTAATTATCTCCCATTTACTAATCATTCTTGCTTAATGGGTGCTTAGTGGTTTTCCTTCATCCACCTGCTCATTTATATATTTTGCCTACTCTTTCTCATTGTTAATAACAACAGTGGTTTTTAAAGAGTGGCAATTTTCAAAGAACAAGAAGCAAGTGAAGAAAATGTAATTTAAACTGAGATGATCTTTCTGTTACTGAAATAAATAACTACCCAATCAGCACTGTTAATACGACTCTAAACCCTCAACCTGGAGGAAGTCAGATCTTCCCATTTGGATACAGTTTCTTAACATTCAACATTTTTTCAGTGGTATACATATTAATTCAATTAGACCTTCTTCAAAGTTCAGTACTTTTCCCTTTCGGACTGGTGGGGTGGGGTGGGGTGGGGTCGGGTCGGTGGTTGTTTGGTGGCTGGGGTCTCCATAGCAACTCAATGTGACAACAGCGCTCCCACCAGCAGGGGGCGCTGCTGATTGCTGCTGGCAGGCTCCTACCATCTATGCATGCTGACAACCTTCCAAGGTTTAGGACTTTTGCTCCCTGCTTTTGGAAGAGCCTTTTTTTTTTCCCTACCCCAACATGTCCTTAGAAAGCAATCTCCAGGTAACCTAAAGTTCTAGGACAAAGTTAAAGACTTTTGGAGTTGTGAATCAGTCTGGAAAACACCTCATTTTTATTCAACAGGAGAATGAGCAAACTCCATTTGGTTTAAATTTTTAAGACTATTTAAATTATTTTCCTTTACAACATAACAGAGTTTATCATACATCCTACAAGCTTGGGCTGTCTACATACTACATTTTATTCAAGGTATTGCGTATCTAACAGTAAGGTAGCAGGCAGTGAGTGAGTGTACATCTTTGCATATGATTGTACATCTTTGCATATGAGTGTACATATGAGTGTACATGAGTACATATGTGTGTACATATGTTTGCATATGAGTGTACATCTTTGCATATGATTGAGAACACATGCATGAGGCAAGGAAGCACAGGTGGGGGTGGTATGGCAGGGTTGGTGGTTTAAGTTTCTTTTCCTATTAAAGTATTTTTTCCTTACATCGTTGTAGTCCCCATAGTTTTCCTGCCACCATATCGCCTAGTGAACTGTCACCACATTCCCTTGTGTTCTTCCCTTCCCTGTTTTGCCACCCCGTCTGCCCCCTCCTTTGCTGCATGCTTCAGTTTCATGGTCAGCTTGCTAGTTTTGACTTTTTCTTGAACTTTTGCTTGGTTTCTCTATATACCACATATAAGTGAGACCATCTGGCATTTATCTTTTTCCTTCTGTTTTATTTCTCTTCCAGCTCCATCCATGTTGCCACAAATGGCAGGAAATTGTCTTTTCTGATCACTGAGTAATATTCCATTGAATAAATATGCCACAACCTTTTTTTTAAAAGATTTTTTATTTTATTTTTGCAATGAAGAACTGGGGCATAGGCCAGAGGTGTGTGTGGGGGGCGGTAAGAGGATTCACCAGAGACAGAGTGGGGAGAACAGGTGGATTTACTGAAACACACTAAGGGGAGCAGCGAGCAGACAGGAGAAGTCTGCTGTGCCATATGTGTGTTAGCTCCCTGGCCACGGATTGAACTCAGGCCATTGCAGTGATAGCACTGAGATTTAACTCCTAGGCCACCAGGGAGGCCCCTATCACAACTTTTTGATCCATTCATTTATTTTGGGACATTTGGGTTGTTTCCATATCTTGGCTATTGTAAATAGTGCGGGAATAAACATTGGGGAGCAAGTTTCCTTTTGAAGTAATGTTTTTGTGTCCTTGGGTAGGTTGCTAGGAGTAGAATCACTGGATCATATGACAGATCCATTTTTAGTGTTGTAGCATTTACCCTGAATCTCACAAAAGAAGAGTGGTCTTTAACTGGAATGGCTTAGGTATGGAACAGACCAAAAGTTGAAGGGCATATTAAATAATTTCTAAAAATCTCTGATGGTTCTCCACATATATTTAAAAACTACTTATTGTATAATAAATACTCAGTATGCTAAATAATGACTACTATACAACAGCAGTAATGACAATAATAAATCCCCATCTCCACAAAAAAGAAAACCAGGAAGGATGGACTCGGGGAAAGGGAGAAGGGAAAGAAGGTAGGAAGGAAGAAAGAAAGTCTAATGAGAAGATTAATATTACATTTCAAAAGCATCAAAATAAAAATTGTCATTAGCCTCTAATGATAAATTGTCAACGTATTTAAAAGTTTATTCTTCAAAAGATGCATGGATGAATTCGAATGAGGGCATATACTAAGCAACTGTCTTCCCTCCAAGAAAATAATCAACACACCTCCAAGGAATCTCAAGTTACTCTAGAAATGTGTGTGAACAAATATACACATGTGAGATAAGTATAGACATACGGTATATATAGATATATATAGAGAGTCACTTACCTCTGTGTCTCTGAATCTATCTTCATAATCCAACCTGTCCTTCTCTACAGCTGTCAGTTTTAACTTCAAGTTAGATATTTCAGCCATGAGATCTAACTTCTGCGTTTCTAAGGATGTCCTACTCAGCAGCTCCTATTAGAATTTAGGAGAAACATTCAAAAGCTGTTTTGTTGTGCAAATATCTCATTTATAATGGTGAAGTAGTCACTACACAGGAGGATCACATGGACGCACATCCACCAGGCATGTGCTTTAGTGAACCTCTACTGAGTAGAACAAGACATGTCTATTTACCAGGGAGGAGTGTGTTATGCAGATGCATGCACGCATAAACCTTGCGTGTTCTTAAGTCTGATGATAACGATAGTGCTGATGCTGACATTACGTTTTCCACAAACCAGGCACTGTCCTGACATATATTAAATGACCCTCAAAACAACCTCATGAGGTAGAAACACATAAGGGTATGTCATGAATTATCCTTACTCAACAGATGAGGAAGCTGAAGAACAGAGAGGCTAAGAACTTGCCAAAAGTCACACAGTAAGGAAACGGCAGAGTAGGGATTCAAATATAAACAGTCATGTGCCAGTGCCTGCTCCATCCACTGTTAGAGAGGGTCTCGAGTGCCTGTGTGCGTGCATGTGTATGTTCACTGAGGAGATCTCCTCTCAAGTCATAAATGGTGCTTATTCTTTTTCTTATCATAAAATATATGTGCATGCTTGGGAGTTAGGAAACCACATCAAAATGCAAAGAAGAAACTTAAAATTATCTACAATCCTCTTAGTATTTTATTCCAAATTCAAACTACACAAACTCTCTACTGTAAGTACACACTCTGAAACCCCACTATTCTAGTTTTGCCTGCAAACAAGCCAGTCTGGGCAAGTCATGGAACCCATACACCTCCTCAGCACATGGCCTGCCAATATGCCTCCCACCAACGCACCCTACCCACCTGCTGCAGCATTTCCTCTGTGGCGTTTAGCTTCTCTCGGTGCTCCTCCAGACAAAACTCCAAATCCCGGATCTTCTCTCCCTGAGCCTCTACCTGGTCTGTTAACACACTTACCTGCATTTAGAATAAGATACTGCAATGAGTTAGGAGGAATCTGAAGTCCCCCACCAACTTCACTTCTCTAAATACAACAAAAACTGGAAAGAGATGACCACTCACTAGGATGGGTAGAGAAAACGAAAGTCAGAATGGTTTAGATCCTTCACATTCCACTTCTGATCTGAGGATTCCCGTTCAATTTTGGAGAAAGTGAGAGCTGACTGGGGATGGGCCACACTTCACAGGTAAATCCTTCCCTCCAAGTGCGAGAGAGAGGGTATACACACGCTATCTATTTTGGTGGTGTCAGAAGGTCATAGAGGAAGTGAAGCTAAATCTGAAGCAGAAGTCAACTAGGACTGTGCAGGTTTGACACTTTGCAGAGAATAAAGAAAACAGGGAATTCAAATTCCCTGAGCTCTTTCAGGTCACTTTGCTTACAAATGGGTTAGAAGCCAGGGAGTGACTCTAAGGTCTGAGAGAGCCCTGGACTGAATCCCTCATGATCAGAGATAATTGTGAATCTCTGAGCTTTCTCTAACCACCACCAGCCTAGTAAATAAACTAAGTTCATTTAGCTGAAAACACCAACATAAAAATATGTCAAGTATTTTAAGACACTATGAAGAAGAAACTCAAATTCATACCACAAGGGCCTCACCACTCACTTTGTGTTTTGTTTGGCTGAGGATATCATCTTTAAAATTTGTTTTTAATTGAAGAAACATTGGTTTACATTTTGTAGGTTTCAGGTATAAAACCTTAGAGACCACTATCTGTAGATACTGTTATTTCACCACAGAGAGCCTACATTACATCCTTCTCCATGTGGCGTAATTTTTTTTCACATTTTTAAATTAAAAAATTAGAACTATAATATTCAATTATGAAATATATAATAAAATTTATGACTATATATACATTATACAATCCTGAATTTCTATATGCACTGAAAAATCAGCTCCAATGAGCAGATCAGAAAATCAGACCATATCACACTGCCTTATGGACACTGGCCCTTAAAGAGCTGAGGTAGACTAAGGGCAGTAGCTAATTAGCCATAGTCTTCACCATTCTCTATTATGTACAGATGGCATACTGCACTTAATTCTATCAAAAGTCTGGCTCCTGGACACATCTGAATCTGCCACCCCAATTTAAAATAGCCTTTGTGGGCCTCTCTGGTGGCGCAAGGGGTTAAGCATTGCACTATGAAGCAATCTGCAGGCTCTGCAGCATGAGTTTGATCCCCAGCTAGCCAGAGAGAAACCCACATGGCACAGCAAACCTCTCCTGTATCACCCGCTGCTCCCCTCAGCAATGTATTTCAGTCAGTCTGCCTGTTCTGTTCCCCACTCTGTCTCTGGTGAATCCTCTCACCCCCTGCATCTCTGGCATGTACCCCAGCTCTTGTATGCATAAATAAATACATCTTTAAAAAAATAAAAATAAAATGGCCTTTGTAAATATGTCATGAGGAAAGATCAACATATAAAAATCACTTGCCTGAAGAACAAGGGATTCTTTATCATTCTCTAAACGGGCGAGCCTTTCCTGGTACACATCTCCGTTCCCAGATAGGTGTCCATTTGTCTGAAAAAGGAAATAAGGGTAAGGCTGGCCCTCTTTAAAACTGAGGTACTGTGGGTAAATAAAAATTGCATCTCTTTTTAATCCAAGGAAACTGAATTCAGCACAGCAGCTACTGACATTAAGAGAAAATGGGACAATATAACTTGGGTCACTGACCTTGAAATAAGTAAGACAGGCACCGAGGCACATTTTCAGGAACAAAATAATAACTTCTCATTAAGCACCAAATATGATCCCAAAGGAAGAGAAGCAGAGGGCGCCCATGCAGGATGCACACAGCACGTGCATGTGAATCTACAGGAGACTGCCTCTCTAGGAGTCAGTGGGGTAACTTGCCCCACAGGCTTTGTGCTGTCGTGGAGAAACTTACAGAGCAAATACAAAGTACAGTAATGAGGCATTATGTGCTAAAAAAAAAAAAAAAGCACCGTATCTCCAACAGTTAAGGTTGTGGAGTTGCCCCGGTATTAAAAGGAAGCTCTCTCCTTGGCACCTGGATACAGGTAGGTGTACTGTGGGGGACGTGAGGACACTCAGCATGGAGCCTGGATGAGTCATATCACATGGACACGCTTCAGCCTCAGGGTGTAGTATTAAGACATCTGGAGCAAACATGTTTATGTCGTTGCCACCAACCCAAAGGGACATCTAATTCTTTCACAAGAATCGGTTTACTTAAAAACCCAATTAATTTATAAGCTTATGGATGCATCTTGGTGAAAATGGAATGACTTTTTAAATACTTATAAAGTGACATCTCTTCCATCTTCCCCTTTGAATAGATGGTTATATTCTTTAACTTTTCTAGGTTCAACACCTGTCAAAACCGTGTTCAGGGGCCTATCACCCATGTACAAGCAGGCCCCACTGGCAGGTCACCAAGCACAAAGCTGTTCCCACTGGCAGTGAAATGACTGAGGCTAACCACCAGGTGGCAAAACATGCCACACAGCCCAGGGGTTCTGAAAGGTCTGTGCCTTGTCCTTCCTATTTTTACATTTGCAGCTGGATCCTGGCACAGGGATACCCATCTATTATGTCAAGGTCATCTCCCTTACAGGACTATTTGTGTTAAGCTTCAGTAGGTCCTTCACACACAAAGTACACTAGCAGTACTGTAAAACAAACCAGTCAAAAGCAGGACCTCTCAGGAGTAAAATCAGAGCAGACCTTTTCTCCCTGTTCCAACTACCTATCTTTGCCCTAAGTTGCAGGATAAACAGCAAAAACTCCACAGCAAGGGGTCGATGACCCACAGAGAGCAACCTACCATGTGACTCTGTAGCCATCCCACCAGCGTTTCTGCTGTGGAATCTGGTATCTGGCACCTCAGGCCTTCCTTCTCTTCCGTCTCCATCATCTCTAGCAGCCCACGCAGGTCCTCTACCAAGTGCAGGGCTCGCAAGCTGCCCATGAATGGGGAGGTGGGAGACTGGCAATCAAAGATCCCATTGGAATATTCCAGTGCCTTAGAACCTACACACACAATCAGAGAGTACAATGGGGTTTCCATCAAATCTCAGACTAGAGCTGATTGTGACAAGCCAACCCAGTCACTGAGGAACAGTCAAAACAAAGAAGAGGGAAAACAGCTGAAACAATCAGGTGCACCTCTCCTAGGCACAGTGGTTGAGGGTAAACATCGAAGGTCAGCCACGGAGCAGGGAGGCCAACCATGCGGTGCAGCACAGGGTGTGGTGGCCGTGGCAGAGGGTAAGCTGACCCAGCAGAAATGAAGATGGCAGCAGCCAAGGCTGGGCTAAGCCATATACTGAAAAGCACACCCAACTTTTAGGGACCACCCCGTCTTCAGATCCCCTAGGAAGGACCTACGTGGGTGTGGACATGGCTTGGCGTAATCTCAAAGGTAAGTGGGCGGCACGCAGCAGTCTCACCAGGTGTATCTCTGAAGTTCGATGAATAGATCACAAGTTTGTGAATGCATGAATGACAGTGCGTGAGTGCATGTGTGTGTAAACATCTCCCCAAGTTTGCTTGCAGCTTAGTGTTTAATGCCCTTGCTAACATCAAGTTTGAAACATCTGGAGATGGAGCCCCTGCCTGTGTGGACCATTCACAGATGCCTCTTCACCTCTTGGATGGTCGTTTTCCATTCTGTCAAGCAGACACAGTAACCTCCTACTTGAAGGTCAGTAAGGCTGAGGGGAAGGCTGTGTCCTTCCAAGTCCAAAGTTCTTACCATGAGTGAGACCCGTGACCCAGTGAGCATGGTGCCTCTCCAGCCAGCACTATGGCCTTATCCACTCCAGTGATGGTGAAAGGACAACTGCTTTCAGCTAATCTACTCCACATGCCACCTTAAAACTGGGCCAGACAATCTGGACCCAAATCTGCCACCCTGTAATAATGGTAATCACTAACATGGTAGGCTTGAAGCTAAAAGTTCCTCCTAACCCGCTAAGTCAATTCCCTGGGGACCCCTGCAGGGTTGAGATGAGAAAAACGTAACTGAGCAGAGTTGTCAGGAGGAGAGGGGAACCACGAGCAAAGAAGGCCAGATGGGCAACAGTGTCCTGCCCAAGCAGTTCAAGCACCAGAGCCACCGACAGTATTGCTACTCACTCACAGCCCCCCAAGAAACCTTTATCGAAGTCTCCACCACAAGAAAAAAAATGCGAATTTAGAAAAATTTCTCAAGTGTTCGCAGTCATTTCTCCTCTTCTCTCTCATATCAGCTGGAGAACTACTGACGTTAATTAAAAAACATATAAACCCAGGTCCTATCCATAAAGCTCTGGACTCACTCCGTCTGAGGAGGGACCTGGCTAAAGCTTGATTTCCATTAATAATTCTGTATTTGTCCTGAAGCCCTGCCAGGGTTAAGGAATGAATACATTAATCCAGTGGAATAGATAAAATGCAAACCCTTCAACGACTTCCAAAAATATCACTTCTCTTGACTAGAGTTTCTCTGAGCTTGTGAAATTCCCACCTCTGCTAAGAACCTAGTGTTAGTTCTAGTTACCTTTTCTGAAATTGAGACAGCCCAATCTCTCTTCCACATAACAGCCCTTCAACTCTTTGAGAGAATGCATCCTGTCTTGAGCAAGATTACACTCTCTCAGGTTCCACTTGACCAGTTCCTTCCCAGATGTGGGTGCTAAACACCTCGCCTTCACACACCCTCCTTGAGATAAGCTTCGCTTGCCCATAACCCTTTGAAAATTATACTCTAAAACTGAACACAACCCTGCAGGCTAATCTACAGACTGAAGTGTAAATAAAACAGGAGGCCAGCTATGACCTGCCACTGCCCTTCAGAGAAGGAAGACGCCAAAGAGGAAGACGCCTTTGGTTTTCTCCAACCACCAAAACAGAGGGGTGTCAATTTTATGACCACAGAGATAAGAAGGTGGGGCCAGGGCAGCTGGAATCCAGGAGGGCTAGAGGGCCCCCACACCCTGCTTCTCACCATCCTGGGAGCCCAGACTTAGGGCGCCACCACTCAGGGAGTTGTGAGGGAGGGAGTGGGTTCACTGAAAGCAGCACCCTGAGAACACAAGGGTCAGTGGCTACGGCTTGTGCTCAGCCTCCCAAAGAGGGACTCGCTGAGAATTCTCACCAGGGAGTAACATCATCAAGTCTGTGCTTCGAAAGGTAATTCTTAAAGTCCACAGAAGAATGGGCTAGAGTGGGAGAGCAAGGCTGTCGGGGACACCATGTGAGGGGGTGACCTGCACAAGGCAAGGCAACTGCAGCACAGACAGGACGGACATTAGAGGGGATAAAAGGGAGATAAGACTGCGAGAACTTGATGAACAAAGTGCAGGTCAGGAGAGACAAACGCATCTTTGTAAGAAGTGGTGTGGATGGAGGTGTGAAATTAGCCAAGATAAAGGTGATAAGGCGCTTCAGAAGAAAGGGAATAAGCTCAGTGCTTGAAATGCTGAGACTGATGTGGCTGCAGGATGCTTCAGGGGAGACGTGTGGTTGGTAGTTATAGACACGGACCTGAAGTTCATAGGCTGTGAGTCCCGGTGGAGAAGCTCAAGTAGAATGCAGGGAGGATACCAGAACCTTCAGGGTATCGGGCAGGACAGGACCCAGATCTGCAGGCTACCTGCACCAGCATCCCCTGAGATGCAGGCCCATCATCCTGGAACAGAAGCCTAGGAAATGGACTTCTGGGCATTGTACAATGAAATCAACACTCACTCTAGTAGATAATGGAGAGACAAGATGGACAAAGACAAAACCATGGGAAACCTACAAGGCACTGGGAGAGCCAGAAAGTGGAAAGGCAATGAAAGTCCAGAGGGCAGAGTGGACATCAGTACCCCGTCCTCGGGAGGCCATGGGTTACCTGCTATGATGCCGTCCATCTGTTCCAGCGCCGCGGCCAGCATGTCGCTTGCGTCACTCATCATTTTGTTATTTGTCAAGGGCAAATTCCAACCTCGTTCTGAAAAAAATCACAATGTTATCATTACATCCTTTAAATGACACATGCTTCCTGGCAGGGACAGATCATTCAGCTTCAAATGGTAACTCCACCTGGCTGTCAATCACACAGAGAATATATCTGCAGTGGTACAGGAGCAGGAAGCCAACATTGCCTCTGTTCTCTAAGTCCCTGGGTCTACCTGGTTGATCAAGTAAGTAGGAACGTGTTCATGGGCTCACAGCATTGCAAACCCAGGGCCATGGTTTCCATGCTGTTCTCTGAGGAGCTCTAGGTCTCCATGAAGGGCTTCAGGGCTGGTTGTGATCTTGGCTGAGGCCACACAGGGGGCGTAGTTAGCCAAGATGACTTTGTCCCTGCACTGGCCCCATCCAAACTCTGCCTTAATTCTTCCTTTTTGTTTTGTTTTCCTGTGTGCAGATATTTCTTAAGACCCACCCGAGACAAGGGTTTCTGACCATATGAACTAAACACATACACCCTGGTACTTTGTACCGTTATCAACAACTCCCATGTTATGAGAGTTCATATATTTACACAAGTTATTCACAACCCTTGACTATGATGATGACCCTATAAAATGGGAAAATTCATCTCCATTTCCTAAACAACAGCAAAAATCTCTGTTGATTTCTGTTGAACAGAAACATGGCCAGTAAATATAGCAAGAAGATGTTTTTAACCTATTGATAGGTCTGTCTGATTTCCACTGTAATTTCGAATTTCTGCTGTCCTGTCAAAGGGTATGTAGATATTATATTGTGTCCTGATCTACTCATTTGACTACCTATTAAAAATGGACTGAAATTATCCTTGCAAAATAGCTAACAATGAAATAGGAAATAGTCAAGATTATGTGATGAATTAGTGCTAATTCATTTTCAAATGAATTAGTGCTTTGCAGGTACTGGACTACACACGCAGGTAAATTCTCTCAATGAGACTAAACAAGGCTCTTGCTGCTCTGCAGCCACAGTGGTGCAACCAACCCCTGGGAGAAGAAGGTGCTGACACAATCTGGCACACAGGGGCTGCTTAGGAAAGTACTGCCCTCGCTCCCATGAAGCCACACCTGCCCTCCTGTTAGAAATACAGTCACCGTGCAGTGTGCCGCTTCTTGGATTTGTTCTCTATGGCGCCTTCTTGTGACACCATATAATGGTGATATAATATGACTTTATAGTTTTTATAGAGTTCACTTAAGATTGCCCAGAACTTGGGCCTCCCCGGTGGCGCAGCGGTTGAGCGCTGGGTTGCGAGGCTGCCCGCTGCCTCTGCGGCGCCGGTTCGATCCCCGGCTGCTCCCCGCCACCGGAGGAGGGTCCCACATGGCGCGCAGACCTCTCCTGCCGCCCGCTGCTCCCCTCAGCAGTGTACTTCAGTCCTTCTGCCTGCTCTGCTCCCCGCTCTGGCTCTGGTGAATTCTCTCACCCTCCCGCGCTTCTGACTGTACCCAGTGCATGTACAAACAAAACAAACGAACAAACAAACAAATAAATAAATAAAACATGCCTCTACAAAAGAAAAAAAAAAATTAAAAAAAAAAAAAAAAAGATTGCCCAGAACTTTATGTTCTCCCAAAAGTGTAAAATTCCACTGCCATTTTATGTGGAACAACCACTGCATGAAAATATCCAAGGCCCACGTACACCCAGAAATAAGGGGTTTAACAGGCTTACGTTAGGGACCCAGAGGGATGCTGAAAGGTACCTGAACTTTTAGTAAGCACACAATCCAAACAGGTGGGGCTCAATTTGTGGAAAACAAAACAGAAAACAATTTAAAAAAAACACTCTAGGTTGGAAAATTTGAGGCATGATAAAGGAGAATGTAAAGGATTATATGATCCCTGAATTTCACATAACTGAGTGGCTTGCTTTCCCTTTCATCCTAAAAGCAGCACTTCAAAGAACTCTAAATGCTATGAAGCTGAATCTATATACAAATAAAACACAGAGACACCCGCTGGTTTCGGCCGTAAACCTGAGGTAGGCTAAGGAAACCAGGGCAGGCCCATGGCCAGGGAAGCTCAGGCCACCTTGCCAGTTCAGAAAGACAAAGCTCAGCATTGTTGGAAAGCACATCGTCAGGGCCTGAGCACATCTCCAGGTGTAGTGGATAAAGATTTCTTTCCCTTTCATTCAGTGAGGATTTTAAATGCTGTGATGCTGAGGTATGAGAACCCAGGCCACGCTTTTCCAAGATGTGAAGAGCCAGGAGTTTTTAAAATGTCCAATATGTTAAGAGACCAATCCTTTGTTTAATGAAAATATGAGAGTGAAGCTGCTGTGAAAGCTTACAAATGCTTGCTCTCAATCTCTACACTTATCACAAAGCAACGCCCATGCAACTGCATAACAGGAGACACCACTGGAGCTGGGAGAGGTTTGCCAGTTAAACAGGGTTTCGGGAGTCAAATATCTCTTTAATAAATTAAAAGTAGCTAAATATAGTTTTCTGATTTGTTGGTATTCCAGGTGTAGAATTTCTAAAAATTGATGGAAAAATGAGAGGGGTGAAGAGATGAATATAAATATAGCAAAACATTTTTTTAAAGATTTATTTATTTTTATACAAGAACTGGGGTACAGGCCAGAGGCACAGGAGGGTGAGAGGATTCACCAGATAGACAGCGGGGAGCAGAACAGGCAGACGGACTGAAAGCACTGCTGAGAGGAGCAGCAGGCATGACAGGAGAGGTCTGCCACACCATGAGGTAATCTCCCAGGCCAGCAGGGAATCGAACCCGCACTGCAGAGGCTGCGGACAGCTCCACAGCGCAGTGCTCAACCCACTGCGCCACTAGGGAGGCCCAAGCAAAATATTTTCAACACACATATGGATGGATGGATGGATGTGAAGAAATGCATGATGTAAATAATAAGGAGTTCAAGACAATAAAATGTTATTTCATACACAATCAATTGGCAAAAAAAATAAAATGACACTACCAAGTACTGTAGAGGATGTGTATTCGCAGAATCTCCTATAGAATATGAAAAGGACTACAACTCAACATTCACTTTTAACCTAGCAATATTTATCCAAGTTATAGAAACATGAGCCACACACAAAAAATGTTCATAGGACTCTTCACAGCGTCAGAAATGTGGAAATAACCACAGGCCCATCCAGAGCAGAGGAGATGCATAAACTGGTATATTCATAGGATGGAATTACTCACAGTGGTCATAACCAGCTTAAGTACTGTAAGTGTGGTATGGACAAATCTGTGCAATATAATAGCAAACCAAGTCTTTGGTAAACTCAACAAGACTTTTTATAAAGTTAAAAAAAAATTCACACATATTAGAAATATATATGGATTCAACATAACTATACAAAAAGAAAAAAAGGAATCATAACACATAATTCAGGATGGTGGCTACTTCAAGCTAGGAACGCAGCACAGAATAGAAGGAGGGGTCACACACCTAGTTAAATGAAGGGTGCTGTCAAGTTCCTGAGGTAGGGAGCAGACTCAAAAGTGCTTATTACATTTTTTAAAATGAAAAAATGAGAATCTGATAATGATAGAACAGATTTTATTAGACCAACTGTCCCACAAATAGCTATACAAAATGATGGTTAAGATACAAAAACAATTTTGAAGAAATTTTAGAGCAACCAAAACCAGGTGGGAACTGGAGGGAAGCCTGCTCTTGTGGAAAGGGAATTATGAAATTCTCATGTTACCTTTTCACCTGTGTCCTTGTCCCAGGGGTGCACAGTGGCTAAAACTTGTTAAGAAAACTATTATCTTACTGGCTCAGAGGAGAGAAAGGGTAAATTCCTTACAATATACATGAAGATGTTAAATACTCCTTCATGGTATTCTGATAAGAGACTATCATGTAGTCTGTTAAAACTATATAATAAAGAGATATAAAAAAAGCCACTGCATTGTTGAAATGGAATACTAATAAAACCCTCAATGCAACAGCAGGCAATAATGGCAGAACAATGAACAATAAGAGAAAGAAATCAAATAGCAAGAGAACAGACTTAAATACAACAACATACTAATTACATTAAATATAAATAGAATAAATACTAGTAAGAGCCAAAGATTGTGAGATTGGTTTTAATTAAAAAGATAGATCTAACAGTATATATACTGTTAATGAGGTATGTTTTCTTTTTTCTTTAAAAAAGAGGTGTATTTCAAACATAAAGAAATAAACAGGGAGGATAAGTGAGACATCATGTACACTGTAAGCCTGGGAAAGCAGGAGTTGCTGTACCAATAAAAGAAAAGTATCGGGCCTCCCTGGTGGCGCAAGGGGTTAAGATGCAACCTATGAAGCTATCTGCAGTCACTGCTGCATGAGTTCAATCCCTGACCAGGGAGCTACCCACATGGCCCAGAAGATTCTTCTGACTCGCCCGCTGCTCCCCTCAGCAGTGTATTTCAGTAGATCCGCCTGTTCTGTTCCCCACTCTGTCTCTGGTGAATCCCCTCTCCCCCCACACCTCTGGCCTGTACCCCAGTTCTTATATGCATAAATAAATAAATCTTTTTTTTTAAAAAAGTATCTTCTCAACAACAAGTATCACTAGAAAGAAAGGGGGATATCTTATAATAATAACAGTCAACTCATCAGGAAGTCAGAACAATGACAAATGTTTTTGCAACGAATAATGAGCTTTCCAGACACAAGAGCAAAACCTGGCACATCTAAGGGAGAATCACACAGATCCACTCCCTGGATATTTAATGCGACTGTTGATGTGTTGGTTTAAGTCTACTGTCCCAGATGTCCTTTGGCCCTTCCTTTCAATCTTCTTTTAGAATGGGAGACAAAATAGAAGGAAAGAAACCCAGCAATAATAAAGATGATTTGAGCAGCACTATCAATCATCCCGATCCAATTCACTTTATAGAATGTTCCAAGTCCAAGTTATATTCACTAGGCTAGGCTAACTCTGCAGACCACAAAACCAGTCTCAACAAATTCCACATGGGTTTTAAAGGACCACACAGAATAAGTACAGCAACT